CTTATTTAGGGTACTTCTAACCCTACTCGTACTTATCGCTATACCCATGAACCTTCCAGCAAACCCCTGATACAGGGAGGGACCTATGGACCTAGTTATCTGCTATTTGCTTAAGAACCCCACAAAAGCTCAAAGGTAATGGTCCCTATAGTACCCTTACAAGGACGTATATGTCAATTAACATTTTTTGGGGGGGGGTTCTTAAGCAAACAGTAGCCCTAAGCCCAAACTTCTTCTATACTATGACGGTGGAGACAGTCACGTGAAACCCTCAAAGCACTAAGCATCATGATCTGCTTTGGTTCCGTGATCTAATCGTTACATCCGAAGATCCTTCAAATGCCATGTAGAGCCCCCAAGCCCAAACTCCTTCAACAAAAGACCCCTAAACCCTTAAACCCCAAGACCCGAAGCGCTCAACCCCACATCCTAAACCCCTAACCCCCAAAACCCTAAGCCTAAGCCCAAACTTTAAACGCTCAGACCTCTGCAAGCCTTGAAGAGACCGCCCCGAAGCTCTGAACCCCCAACCATGAACTCTTGACCCACAAAACCCTATAAATCCCTGAACCCCAAACAGGCCCTCAAGAGACCGTATGGGCCCTCATTAGAGAGTGTAGAAAGGGGTTATATAACAAGGCCCAACGTAAGGTTGAGGGTTTAGGGTTCAGGGTTTAGGGTTTTAGGTTTTAGGTTTTAGGGTTTAGGGTTTAGGGTTTAGGGTTGAAGAGACTGCACGCGCAGGTTTTGGAGCGCTACGTGAGCTGCCGACCCACTCAGGAGGCCGCTTGGACTTTGGGGGAGCGATGGTTGAGGGATTCGGGGTTTAGGTTTAGGGTGTTGGGGTTTTGGAGTTTTGGGGTTTTGGGGTTTAGGGGTTGAGGGGTTTAGGGGTTCATGGATTTAGTGGTTTAGGGGCGAGGGTTTGTCTCCCACAGCCGGTCACGGCCAAAGCAGACAAGGACACAGCAACGACTACATCTGCAACAGCAAGGTTTAGGGTTTAGGGTTCAGGGTTTAGGACCCTGCAAATGCAAATGAAAGGAACGCAGTGGCAGTGAAGGTCGAACGTGGGAGTTACCAGGGCTTAGGGTTTCGGGTTTGCGGTAATATGGCGCAGATGCTCTGTGGTTAGGATGCAGAAGAGGCTCGAAAGTTTCGTCAGCTCCGAAGAGCAGCTCTGGCCCGGGTGTGGAGGGCCATTCTCCCACCGCACGTCGTCCACGGTGGCAAAGCCACCCTAGCCTATTCCTTTTAGGGTTTAGGACGGTTTAGGCCTCAAGTCAATTGCCTACTGCTTCCGTTTCCGGTGGCACGCAGCAACCTCTTGGACCCTAGGGACGCTACGGCGACGGGTTTGGGAGCCCCCTCGGCCTGAGGCCTTGGGGACACCCCTTTCATGACTTTCATTCGGGCCCAGTGTTGTTCTGAAAAGAACAAGGCCCGGCATTGTACGTGCGAGCTCTGGGAGGCGGGCGAACGACCTGGGTCGTCTTGCGCCATCCAGGTCGAGGGGCTTAAGCGCCACCCCCACTACTGTAGCTTGGCCTTGTGTTTTGGGTTTAGGGTTCAGGGTGCGGTGTTCTCGTAGGTGGTACTTTCGAGGTTAAGCCGCCACTGATCCGAAGCCTAGAAAATCCCAAGCAATCCCAAAACCCCAAATTCCAAGCCCCAAGCCCCTAAACCCTAAACCATAAAGGCCCCAAGTTCACCCTAAACCCCAAACCCCAGGCCCCAGACCCTAAACCCTAAACCCTCAACCGTAAACCCTAAACCCTAAACCCAACTCCGCAAGGCCTTTCTTCGGCTGTGCAAGTTCGAGGAGAAGCACCACAACACAGCCGACAACCGAGGGCTTGGGCTTTGGGGTTTCTATCATCTCCTTAAGAACCCCCCCAAGAGTAGAAGTATGCTTCCTTATAAAGGCAACATAGGCATTATTTATATTTCTAAGTCTATGATTATTCTCAGCATTATCATTATTATTCTTACGATTAGTATTTTTATTATTGTTATTACTATTGTTGTTTTGGGTGTTCTTAAGCGAATAGTAGGTGTCGGGAGCTTGGAGGTTCAAGGGTAGTTTTCACTGGGGTTCGAGTTCGCATTGGCTATGACCTATTTAGGGTACTTACTTACAACCCTACTTCTGAACTACCCATGAACCTTCAGGTAGGTCAGGTCGTTGCACTCTAGGCTCTTAGGCGCTCAAGCCCCTAAACCCGAAGCCTGCTTAGAAGCCAACCACAAGTGCCGATCTCTTCTGGATGGGGGTCGCAATGATCTCTCGCAGAAACCCTGAACCCTAAACCCCCTTGTTATGAGCCCTTGACTCGCTGGCTCTTAGTGAGAAAGTTGGGGAGGTAGGTTCCCTACGCTCTATGGCATGGCCCTTAAAGGGGGTCCGATCGAGTAGCTTTAGGCTCTAAGTATATGCTACATAGGTACATGGACCCAGGTCACGCTCAGAAGATTCAGTATTGCCGAGCAGGGCTGCTTTCTTTGGGGTGCTTAGGGTGTATAGGGTTTAGGGCTTAGAAGGCTTCAGGGTCGTTGGGTTAAGGAGTTCGGCGTTTTAGGAATCTGGGGTTTAGAGTTTAGGGTTGAGGGTTTAGGGAGGGTTTCCGGAGATCGAGGACCCTAAGCCCTAAACCCTAATGCGGGCGCTAGACTCTTCAGTTCGAGCTTGCCAAGGGCTCAGCACATTGATGTTTGGGATCCCAATGCCTTGAGTGACCTTACAAGGACCCTATGGGTTTCAGAGGGGGGCGAGCTCAGGCTTAAGTAGGTGTAGGAACTCGTTCAGGCGGGTGTGTGTGTGTGTGTGTGCGTGCGTGTGTGCGTGTGTGTGTGTGTGTGTGTGTGTGTGTGTGTGTGTGTGTGTGTGTGTGTGTGTGTGTGTGTGTGTGCGTGCGTGCGTGCGTGCGTGCGTGCGTGCGTGTGTGTGTGTACATAGGCAGAAATGTGTTTGCGTGTGTCTATTAGTTTAGTATTTATACGCAGAGAGGGTACGTGAAATGAGGGTTTAGGACGAGGCGAAGTGGTGGCTTGTTCGTTTTACTTTTCCCAAATTGGGTTTAGGTTTTAGGGTTTAGGGTTTAGGGGCAGAAACAAGTTGGGTGCAGCTTATAGAGCTGGGGCATCCGAAATTCGTTGATCGCAAGCTTTTCCAAACCTCCTTCTAGACTTTGGTGCGTGGTGGCAGTAGCGGTTTAGGGTTTAGGGTTTCGGGTTCAGGGTTTAGGGTTTGGGGTTTAGGGTGTCCATGCACGAGTTCGCAAGAGCCTCCCCCCCTCCCCAAACCCAGGCTCGCGCACGCTCCGCCGGACTGCCACGTTCGAATCCGCTTTGGGGGGTTCTTTAGACCCTAAACCCTAAACCCTAAACCCAAAACCTTATAAACCCTAAACCCTAAACCCTGAAGACCACATGAACCCCAAGATTGGGGTCATATGCCCTGTACCACAATACTTCCTACTAAGGTATATGAACCCCATTTCCTTTTAGGGTTCATCTGAGGGTTGACGAAAATAAGGGACCCCTAAACATAGACCCCCAAATACTAGCATTCCCTTATATTCAGGGCCCGAGTCAGGTACCCCCCTAAAGTCGGAAACCCTAAGCCCCAAACCCTAAGCCCTAAACCCTAAGCCCTAAACCCTAAACCCTAAACCCTAAGCCCTAAACCCTAAACCCTAAACCCTAAACCCTCCCCCAAGAATCCTAGCCTTCGCCCTCAGGTTCGGTGGTGTGCTTCGGGGAGTCTTTGCGGGTGGTGGGATGCGATTCTCAGGCGTTCGTTCCACGGTTCCACAAGCCCTTTAACCCCTGGAAACCCTGACCCCTAGACCTTAAACCCTTGGACATCAAACTCCCAAATCTGGAGTGCTTATAGCAAACCCCGAGGGGGGCGTACATAAGTACAGGTACAATTTGGGGTTATATGTACACTTGAACCCAAGCCAGCCCTAAACACACTACATGCTACACCGCCAGGGCTTCGAAAAGGCTGTCGAGCTCTTGGGCAACGAGCTGGATGAGAAGTTGGGGGGCCCGGGCCAGGGCAACTGCGGCCTTCTCCAAAAAAAGATCAGCCTTGAAGGCTACAAGCTTGGCGTTTCAGACTTTGAAGCTGTAGCCTTGAAGGAGTCAAGCCGTAACGGTTTCAATGCTTGACACCTTTCGATGGCCAGGTTTTTAGGGTTTAGGGTTTGCACTGTTCCGAGCCACCTTTCAATGTTATTGTTTGGGATTTGGGATGTTCCCCCTTATACCAACGGGATTGTAGTACCCCCCCCCCATTATATACCCGATTAAGGACTGCTAGTATAAGGGGGAACATCCCAAGTTTTTATTGTCAAGTCCGGGATATCGTGAACCACCCACTTACAAAACTTGATTGTCTGGCTGCTTTGTTAAAAAGAAATCCGGATTCACCGCAGGCTTCAGGCTTCGATGCCCTAAACCCAAAACCCTGCGGCGTTGGAAATTTGTTGAGGGTTCAGGGTTTTAGGGCATGAGCCTACCCGGGCCAACGTGAGCCCTAGCCCCCCCCCCCCCCCAAGCCCTAAATACACCCGAACCCCCCGCTTCCTAACTCCGATTCTTCGAGTCTTGAACTGCCCCTCGCTATGCCCATGTAGTGCCCCCTCATCCCGATTCTGTTTTTCGTGTCCGAACACCGGTACAAAACCCAGAAGAAGAGAGAAGGGTGCACCCTTTGCATGATCTGCTTACGGGTTCTGAGGTTTAAGTTTACGTAAAGGCGCCGATGTAGTACCTTTTCGGGGTAGTATACGAAAAACCCCCTCTAACTAAACCAAAAAGGAACTAAGTCAGAGCCTTCAGGTACACCCTAAACCCTAAACCCTAAACCCTAAACCCTAAACCCTAAACCCTAAACCCTAAACCCTAAACCCTAAACCCTAAACCCTAAACCCAAGGGTTCGCCCCTCAGGTTTTACATCAAGTTCGCTCAGTTTGAGCAGCGCCAGCGAGAGATGGAGCGTTCGCAGGCCACCCCAGTTCTTAAGACAGGGGTCGGGGTAATTCATGAAGACCTTTTTTGCCTTGCAAGATAGGGTTTGGGGCTTAGGGTTGAGGGTTGAGGGTTGAGGGTTGAGGGTTGAGGGTTGAGGGTTGAGGGTTGAGGCTTTAGGGTTTAGGGTTTAGGGTTTAGGGGTCATATTGGGGTCGGGGTACTTCACAACCTGAAGGTTCATGGGGTTTAAGGTTCAGGCTCGGCGCTCCGGAACAACCCTCCTCAAGATGTTTCAGGTGGTGGCTTGCGGGTGCATCCACCCAGAACGGGGATGTGGAAGGGCTCCTACGCGTTTTTGTCGGTGTTTTGGGGTATGGGGCTGTTGGAGGCCCCCTTGCCAGTGCCCCCCTGAACTTTAAGGCACAAACCCACGAGTCCCAAGAGCCCCTGAACCCCCAAAGCCCCCCAAAGCCCCCCTAACCCGGCCTGCCCAAAACCCCAACACACCCCAACTGCCAGTTTCGGGTTCAGGGTAGGGTTTTGGGGTGAAGGGTAAACCCCAAAACCCTGCAGGCCATATACAAGCTTGCCTTGGACGTGCTGCCCAAAGGCGGGGCACAGGGCTTCAGTTTCCTGGCTTTTAAAACAGGTTAGTGTTTAGGGTTTAGGGTTCAGGGATTTTAAGAGCAGCATTTATACATTCGAAAAGAGGGAACATACGCCTTAGTTCGACAACGCAGTCAGAAGGCCCACCAAAATGACGCCAACCCACCTGATGCCTCTCCTTTCGGAGTACCTTTTCTAGGGCTGTTATACCATATTCCCCTATAGCTAACCCAAAAAGGAGCTACAACCGTAAACCCTCTAACCTCCATTGCAGGTAAAAAAGGCCTAGGCTTTGGGTTTAGGGTTTCGGGTGTGGGGTGTAGGGGGGTTGAACCCTGAAGCCCAAGAGATCCCGACCTTGAGCCCCAAGCCCCAAACCCTGACAACCCACGAAACAGCCAAAGAAAGCCCGGCCTGGTCTGTCAAGACTGCCGAAAATGCAAAGAAGGTTTTCTCCTACTTGAGGGTTCACGGGTAGTTATAAGTAGCGTTATAAGTGCCCTAAAGAAGGTTATAACCAGCTATAAGTATAGTACGTTATTTATAACCTTGCTTATAACTACGTACCCATGAACCTCCAAGTAAGGGTCCATGTACTCGTATGTTAAATACTCAGGCCTTAAAGGGGTTGCCTTATAGCAACTTCAGGGCCCGAACATTGTTCTGTTTCAGGGTTGAAACTTTTGTTACCCTAAACCCTAACCCTAAACCCTAGCCCTAAACCCTAAACCCTAAGCCCAGTAAGAGGTGCTAGCGATGACCTTTACCGCGCCTACGTCTCCTTCGAGAAGCAGCATGGCGACAGGGATGCCATCGAAGAGGCGCTAGGGTTTAGGGTTTCGGGTGTAGGGTTTAGGGTTTAGTGTTTAGGGGTAGTTGCATGGTCCCTTAATATGGGCGCTTAGAAGGGGGCCCCTTATATACCCTATACAACCCCAGGGCCCATACTTCAGAACCCTATAAAGGAGGTAAGGGACCATATTTGGGGCCCATGAGACTACCCTTAGACCGCCTGAACTACCCCCAAAGTCAGGGAAATCTAGATATGCCTTCATTATTGGGCATACTTGCCCTTTTTGTTGGCGCAAGGTTGCTCTAGGTAAGGGTTCTAGGTTTCGTGTGCAGGGTTGAAAAACGTCACGTCACAGAGCACATTCCCCGCACCTTGACTGCTGCAGGTTGTCATCAACAAGCGGAGGTTCATCTACGAGGAGCGTTCCCAGCCAGGTTTTAATTAGGTTTAGGGCCATCTAGCCGTTGAGCCCTGCATGTGTAGTTCTCTAAATGAGGGCTCCCTTTTTTTGGGGTCCCTTTTCAGAGGGTGCCGTACTATGTGAGGAACCCAAACAGGGACCCTAATTTAGAGAGCACTCCTGACGCCCGCAGAGGCCCTAAAGCCTAAAGCCTAAACCCTAAACCCTAAACCCTAAAGTGTTGCCTAAACCCTAACCCCAAACCCTAAACCCTAAACCCTAAACCCTTAACCGTAAAGCCCAACGCACGCCTACAAGAGTGCCACCACCTGAATTGTTGAGCAGGTGGGCCTCGGAAGGCGGTTCCTACGGCCCAGGGTAGGGCCTTTTTCCCCTTGTTGTAGAGTTTACTGGGTTTTGGAGTACTTTGTTTTAACACTTTTTGGTTCAACTTTTTCCATGGTCTACTCCAAAGTAGGGTTTAGGTTCCTTGAAAACCCTCTTTAAACCAAGAAAGGGCAGCCTTTGTGTTCTTGATGAAAGTTACTCTTGGGTCTCTGTTTCCGTGTGCTAAAGTGCACCCAACTCCTAAACCCTAAACCCTACTGTAAACCCTAAACCCTAAACCCTAAACCCTAAGCCCTAAGCCCTAAACCCTAAACCCTAAACCCTAAACCCCAAACCCCAAACCCCAAACCCTAAACCCTAAACCCTACACCCTAAACCGTCCGAAACCCCAAAAGACAACTCCTTGACCTAAGTCTGTAAATGCCAAGCCCATATCCTAAGCCCCCACTCCTTGGTAGCCCAGTGGCACGCTTTACCCTTTTTTTAAGGGTTTAGGGTATAGGGTTTAGGGTTTAGGCTCTAGGGTTTAGGGTTTAGGGTTTACTTTTTTTTTTTGTTTTGGGTTCCCTTGTAAAGTAGCCAACCCAAAAAGGGGTGCCCTTACTATGATATGCATACCTGGGCTACCCAGGCTCCTAAACCCTACAAGAGAAACCAGAGAGCTAAAGCAAAGCCGGAAGCCCTAAAAAGCTCGACAAGCAAAGTATACCGAAACTAAACCCTAGAACTCTAAACCCCTAAACCCCTGAACCCCTAAACCCCTACAACCCCTAACCCCTATAAGCCCTAAGCCTTGAATCCCTAGAAGCACTGTCCTGTGCCACGAAGAAAGTCCTGAAACCATGCGGTCAGCGCCCTAAGCCTTAGTTTCACTTTGGAAGGGTGCCCAAAACCCCGAAACCCAATAAACCCTAAACCGTCGCAAGATCCACCGGGACCAGCAGCTAAGGAACCACCCTAAATTCTAAAGCCTGGGTTTAGGGTTTAGGGTTTAGGGCTCAGGTTTTAGGGTTTAGGGTTTAGGGTTTACAGTTACATATATATATATACCCTGCAAAGAGACTCTGCAACCCCTCGTGCTGCGAGGGCGGAGTTGTTGTAAGGTCGAGCTCGGGGGCGGATTTAGGGGTCTACTAGGACAGAGAGAGCAGGCCCTTTTTTTCCTTTTTCCAGGGTTAGGGTTCCCTTATAATCAATCCCCTTAAAGCCAAAAAGGGTACCCTTTTTATTCCTAGGTTTCACCCGGATCTAGTCTAGCGTTTTGGGAATTTGGGCAGGGCTAAGGGTTCTATGCCCTTTCGCGAGCAGATGGACTCTGAGGAGTCTATCGAGAAGAACCCGCGGAACTACGATGTGTGGTCCGGTGCTGAGTCTTTCTTGCCAGTATCCCCGAAAGGACAGCCCATCAACAAATCCATGCACTCCGTTCATGTGAACTCTACTGTGCAATACACCCTGTACCTTAATGCCTAGCCCTAAACCCTAAACCCTAAACCGTAAACCCTACACCCTAAACTCTTCATCACTGGCATGCTGTGTCGGTTGGGGGACTTCAGGCTTGTCAGAACTTAAGGTTTCCGGTGGCCTCAACCGGTTTAGGGTTTAGGGTTTAGGGATTAGGGTTTAGGGTTTAGGGTTTATGGTTTAGGGTTTTGGGTTTTGGGTTTTGGGTTTAGGGTTTAGGGTTCGATACAGTCTATAGTCCCCAAAGCCCCAAAGCCCAAAACCCCAAACCCTCTGTGGGCTCTTTCGACCCCTAAACCCTGAACGCTAAATCCTAAACCCTTAACCCTTAACCCTTAACCGTAAAGCGCAAACCCTTGCCCTTAACCCTACACCCTAAACCCTAATCCCTAAAGCCTTGCCCTAAACCCTAAACCCCAAGCCCTAAACACTAAACCCTAAACCCTAAACCCTAAACCCTAACTTATCCCCTACCCGGGCCCCTTGGAAGGTTCGACTACGTCCGACTCGAAGAGTCCACCGGGGACGTGGCTCGCATCCGGGAGGCACTCCTTACTCGGTATAGGGGTTTAGGGTTTAGGGCTAGGGTTTAGGGTTTAGGGTTCAGGGTTCAGGGTTTAGAGTTCAGGGTTTTGGGTTTGGGGTTTTGGGTTTTGGGTTTAGGGCTTAGGGCTTAGGGCTCATGTTTAGGGTTGTAGATTTTCCCTTGTTGGGCCTTAAGAGGCTCATATTCAGGAATATGTTTCAGAGGGTTTTAAAGGGCCATCCTAGCTTTGGTGTTGGGCAAGTGGGGTTAATAACTCTAGGGTTGTGGAGCTTTAGGGTTAAGGGTTTAGGGTTTATCAGGGTTTGGAGTTTAGGGTTTTAGGGTTGCAGAGTTGCAGAGTTTCAGGGTTTCGGGTTTAGGGCTTAGGCTTTAGGGTCTTGGGTTGTAGGGGGTTTGTGGCCCCTCGCACACGCTGACAGCTACAAACTTCGTGCTGGCTTACATCGAGCGAAGGCCCAAGGAAGCAAGGCTGATTCCGGTGTGTCCGCCACGGACGTGTTGCGGAAAAAAGAGCCCTAAACCCTAAACCCTAGGTTCAAATGAGCAGCATAGCCCCAAGTGTGCAAAGCTGGTCGAGATCATGAAGCTCTAAACCCTCGACCCTACACCCTAAACCCTAACCCCGAACCCTAGTGCCCAAACCCTTGACCCTTGTGACCCTTGAACCCTTGAACCCTCAACCATAAACCCTAAACCCTAAACCCTAAACCCTAAACCCTAAACCCTGAACCCTGAACCCTGAACCCTGAACCCTGAACCCTGAACCCTGAACCCTGAACCCTGAACCCTGAACCCTGAACCCTGAACCCTAACCCTAAACCCTAAAACCAGCGAATCTGGGCCAAAGCTTCCAAAATCATGTCCGCTTCGCTGCGACCACAATATGATACTGCAGGTTCAGGTCTAGTGGGGCTCAAGGTTTCATTGGCTTTTGCTGGGTTTCTGGGTTCAGGGTTCAGGGTTTTAGGTTGAGGCTTCAGGGTTGAGGCTTCAGGGTTGAGGCTTTAGGGTTTAGTTCCTAACCCTAAACCCTAAACCCTAAACCCTAAACCCTAAACCCTAAACCCTAAACCCTAAACCCTAAGCCCAAAAACACCAAAGCCTCCGCGCTGTCCAGACCTACGAACGCGCCGTCAAGTGCAAGCCGCCAGCACACCTCCCAGACTGGATTTAGGGTATAGGGTATAGGGTTTAGGGTTTAGGGTTTATAGGGTTTAGGGTTTAGGAACCCACGGGAGCAGATGGGTGTAGGGTTTTGAGCCCTAAGCCCCTCGGACTATGCTTGTTTCGTTGCAAAAACACTTGGTAGCCCGGTGGTACCCTTTACCTTTTCTTTTTTTGTTCTGGGTTCCCTTTGTAAAGTAACCAACCAAAAAAAGGGTGCCCTTATTATAATATGGTTGCTGGGATACCAAGCCTTGGTTTTGAGGAAAGCCGTCTGACCGATGAGGTCGATGAAGTATGAGGTAAGTCCCCTAAACCCTTTCAAGGGTTTAGGGTTTAGGGTTTAGGGTTTAGGGTTTAGGGTTTAACCCTCTCAACCCCTTCAACCCTAAATCCCCGAACGGCTCTGTGAGCGAATCTGGGCCAATTCCACGTGAGTTCTACCCGTTGTGGGCGGATGCCTGGGTGGCCTGGCTTCCCAAACCAGGCAAAGCGGCAGATCGCCTGAAAACGCGTCAATGGCCCCAGTACGCCTACACCCCCGGCAGGAGCATAGATCATGCAATCGCCCGGGCAATGAGTCACTGTCATGCTGTCAAACAGACACTTGCCTCGCACCGTCTCACTCTTCGTGAAAGACGAGAAACTGGCCGCCGCCCCACTGCCTGCTGCGGAGGGATGACGTTGTCAGTTGACACCAGTAAAGCGTTGGATACGGTGCGCGGCGCGATGTCTTGGAACAAGAACTGCGCTTGGCACAGGTCCCGGAGCCGGAGATCGAGGTCATTATGCAGCTGCACACCCCTAAACCCTGAACCCTAAACCCCAAACCCTAAATCCCCCCAACCCCCGAAGTTACCTCCGAAGCCCAACGACCCAAGCCACGTTCCGCCTTCCAGGCCCACTGAGGTCGAAGTTTACGGGTTTCGGGGCTTTGGAGAGTTTAGGGGCTTAGGGGGGTTTGGGGTTTTAGGGGTTTAGTTGGGGGTCTAGGCGAGTTTAGGGTTTTCAGGGTTAGGGGTCCAGGGTGTTTAGATCTCCAGATGATCAGTTGAGGGCTAAGGAATCCCGAGACTCAAACCATGCTGTCGCCCTCCAATGACATAATGAGGCGCAGGCTGTTTACTTGTGTGTTTGTTGAACGGGTGAAGTCCGCTTGTGCCCTAACGCCTACCGTCGGCCATCAAGGATTGCACAACCCCAAACTAAAACTCTCCACACTAACCCCGAAACCCTAAATCCTAACCCTAAACCTGAACCCTAAACCCTAAACCCTAAGCCCTAAACCCTAAACCCTAAACCCTAAACCCTAAACCCTAAACCCTAAACCCTAAACCCTAAACCCTAAACCCTAAACCCTAAACCCTAAACCCTAAACCCTAAACCCTAAACCCTCACGGCACAAGCCTGCAGCTCAGCCCCTTGAGCCTAGGTGATGCAAAAGCGCTACTGGAGGCGCTACATCTACCTCTGGCCCCTTGGCACAAAGGTGGGGTTTTAAGTTTAGGGCTTAGGGTTTAGGGGTTTAGGTTAGGGGTTTTAGGGCTTCTTGGGTTTAGGGCACAAGGTGGGGAAGTTTAGGGCTTGGGGTTTAGGGGTTTAGGGTTAAGGGGTTTTAGGGCTTCTTGAGTTTAGGAATTGGGGTTTAGGGTTGCAAGTCGCAGGGTTTGGGGTTGTCTTGCTTAAGGTGGGGTGATCACGACGAACTGGTTTAGGAGAGGTTTGTTCGGGTTGAGGGTTTAGGGTTTAGGGTTTTGAAGCGGGTAGTACCATTCTGGCGTTAGGCACCCTGAAGCCCTGTATCGGCCTTAGAGAACCTACTTCCAAAAATCAACTGCACGTGGACCCTCTGGATTACCTGCAACCATAGTCATACCGGAAGGGTGGGGGCGCGGGCCGGGGGGGGGGGGGGCTCCTGACGATTTCCGCTTGTTCGCCCAAAACCCTAAACCTAAACCCTAAACCCTAAACCCTAATCCCTAAACCCTAACCCTAAACCCTAAACCCTAAACCCTAAACCCTAAACCCTAAACCCTAAACCCTAAACCCTAAACCCTAAACCCTAAACCCTAAGCCGCCTGGGCTGCGAAAGTCCATGCGTGTTGAGGGCCTTAAGCAAAGTGTCATCGGCAGGCTACTTAGGGTTCAGGGTTTGAGGGTTTAGGGTTTAGGGTTGAAATGGATCATTCTTGTTTAGATAAAACTTCGACACGGACGTGATCGTCGAAGGGGGGGGTGTAGAGGAGGGGCCCCAGAAGGGACCCTTAATCTTATTCCCCTCCATATCCTCTACATGTGCCTTATATAGTCCCTATATACCTGAGTAGGTGATCCAGGTCTCATCACATAGTTATGTATCTGCCTTTTTTTTCTGTCTTCCCAATAAGCAAAATGCATCATCATCATCATCATCATCATCATCATCATCATACCCCGCATGGGCCCTATTTCGGGCAACTTTAACTTTGACTAGTTCTCGCGAAGGGGATTAGCGATTTAGGTTAGGGCTTCTAGGGTATTGAGCTCAGGGATGCCTTGAGCGGTGTGCCAAGAGTAAACGTGAGACACCGGGGCGAATGGCTTGGCTGAATTAAGGGCTTACGATCGTTGCTTGGGAGCCGCGCGCTGTGAACTCCATCAAGAGCTTTTCAAGTTCTACGTGCTGCTAGAGAACAGTCGGTAAGACGAGCTGCAGCAGGCTCTGGCGGACTTCGTCCTGTAGGCTTCGACGCTGAGCATGTCTGGGTGCTGCCTTGCACCCACACCCACGCGTGCTTTCCGATCCCTTCATAAACCCTGCCCCTGAACCCCAAACCCTCAACCCTACTCCCCCCAATACCAGAAAACTTTGTAGGATGCTTAAACGCCGGGGGTCATGGGCGCTTGCAAGTCACAGGGCTCAGGCTTGATGGGTACCTACGAACCGACTTACTTGGAGGTTCATGGTACTTATAAACCAATCATAACTGTACTAATCAGCCACTTAGAAGCCCCTTAAGTGCCCTAATACAGCTATATGTACAGTTATGAGTACAATAAGAATCAGTTAACAAGCACCATGGACCTCCAGGTAACAACTGTTGATGTACGCCTTTCTGCCTATAATAAGCCATGAGCCGCTTTGGGGCTGAGGTTTTTTTTTTTTTCAGAGTCTGGGCTTAAGGTAGGGTTGGAGGTGTTTGGGTGTGAGGGGTGTGAAGTTTCAGATGAGGGGTGAGGGATTGTTCGGGCGTTAGGGGTATTTAGCCCTCGTCCCTAAAGCATAAACCCAAACCGCAAACATGTAGAAGCCCAAGCTCATTCAAGCCAAAGCCGCAAGCCCTCATGGCGCAAGGCAGTAATTGTAACCCTAAGGGTCCATGAACCTACAAAACTAGCACCAGTGTATACTATATCGGTACATGGACCCTTTAGGGGTTTCAGTAGTTCTTGGAGCCCTACGAGCCACCCTTCCGAACCCCTGAAGCGCAGCGAAAACACTGAGCCCGGGACGCGAAATCTTGTACTCTGATTCCCAAGCCGCATCCCGAGTTCTTTGCTTGGTAGCCCAGTGGTACCCTTTACCCCTTTTTTTGTTCTGGGTTCCCTTGTAAAGTAACCAGCCAAAAAAAATGGTGCCCTTGTAATATGGTTACTGGGCTACCAAGTTTGTAAGTCTTAAACCCTAAGCCCACGGCCCTTGGCCCCCCGAGGATATATTACGCCCTCTTCGAGGAGATTTGGGTGGAAGCTGCTAATTGGTGATCTGCGATTCAAGCCCTGAGCAGGTAAGGCCCCCCAAAACCCTGATAAATCCGCGAGAGCTTTTGGTTAGGCGCGAGGCCTTGGCAGTTTCTTTTAGGGCTTAGGGCTTAGGTCTTACTTAGGGTTTAGGGTTGTCGGAGGCTTGCACCGTTTTTGTTTTGTTAATGTTGGGTGTATAGGGCTTATATATGGAGTTTATACGGCTTGTAGGCTTTATAGGGTTTACAGGGTTTTGCAGGGTGTATAGGGTCTATCGGGTTTAGGGAGGGTGTCGCGCCGTGTGATTTCAGATGTGCATCCGCAGCACACAATCAGGTTTTGTATCCAGCCTTCTTAAGGGTTTAGGGCTTAGTGTTTAAGAGGATTTCCCTCCGCCCCACTCACCCTCCCATCTGAATCCTGCCTCCTACACCCTAAACCCTCAACCCCCTACCGCAAGCAGCATTGGTCTACCACTTGCTTAAGAACCCCCCCCCCCTCCCAAAAAATCACACAGATTCTTCCTTATAAGGGTAATACAGGGTCTTTTATCAATGTTTTTGTTTTTTTTTGTGGGTTCTTAAGCAAAAAAAGTTCCCTAAACCCTAAACTCTAAACCCTCAACCCTAAACCCTAAAGTCTCCGATTGCTGCTCGGGCCTGGCGAATCTGCGAGCAAACTATACGCTCAGAAGGTGGGAAATCAACCCTCAACCCTAGAATCCTAGAAACCCTAAACCCCTTACTTCCCTAATCAAAGCCCTAAATCCTATACCCCTAGCTTCTATAAGCCCTTAATCCTAAACCCTAAACCCTAAACCCAAAACTTATTCAGCCAGGAATCCCTAGCCCGGACAATCCTAAAACCCCAAACCCCGAGCCCTGACTTCCCTTGCATGAAGCGACCACTTCTTCAAAAAAAAGGCAATCCACCGCAAGCCCGTAGTTTAGGGTTTAGGGTTTAGGGTTTAGGGTTTAGGGTTTCGGGTTTAGGGTTTAGGGTTTAGGGTTTAGGGCTAGCTAGGCTTACAAACCTCTGATGCTCCTCAAGCCTAAAAGCCCCCTTTCTTTGAGCCTTAGCTTCTTGGAGTCCGTGCATCCGCCATGGAATCTTTGCCCTACTTTTGCAGAACAGGAGGCCTTTGCAGGTTTGGAGGAGTGGGGGTTGGGGGCCAGTTTAGGGCTTGGGTTTGTTTAGCTGAATTCCCTTCCCTAAACATCAGGCAGCCACGCCCGCCGGGTCGAGGTGTGCTGCTTCCGATACCTAACCTTTATATCCAGCGAAATGTTCCTCAACTATTGGGGTGCACATCCGGTTCAAGGGACAAGGTTATTACATAAGCCTCAACTCCTAAACCCTATATCCTCGACAGAAGGCCCTCAAGCTACCCTCAACAGAAGGCCCTAAAGCTGCTTTTGGGTTGAGGGTCGAAGGCCCACGATTTTTAGCCTCCAGCAACGTGGATCCCTTCCAGAACACTGAGCCCGACCTCGTAAACCCCTATTTGGTGTTTGAGTAGGGTTTAGGGTTTGGGGGGTCGGGTCTCTAAACCCCAAACCCTAAACCTTAAACCTTAAACCCTAAACCCTAAACCCTAAACCCTAAACCCGGGGGTTTGTGTCGGGAGGCCATGGACTCGGCACTGCTTGGGGACCTTGCGATGCGGCCGCCCTGGCTCCAAGTGTTTGTTGGGCTTTTTGGCGTTTAGGGTTTAGGGTTTAGGGTGTAGGGTTTGTTTGACTTGAGGTTATTGGGTTTCCGAGAGTTGGGTCCCCTTCCGACAACACGGAAAAACCGTTTTTTGAGGTACATAGAATAATATTAAGGGTACCCCTAATTAAGCCCGAAACCCTAAACCGAAACCCCCTATTTTGGGCAATGCCCATTTTGGGTCGCGCGTCTTGGATCAGGTCTTCTGTTGGCTGCCCGGGTTTGCTTGTGCCAACGCTGCTTTTTTTGCCCCAAAGGTAGGCCTTGCGGCTCAGCCCGCTGACGTTGGCTTGTTCCCATGATTGTAACCCTGAACCCTAAACCCTAAACCCTAAACCCTAAACCCTAAACCCTAAACCCCTTTATAAGCTCAGTTTTAGGGGCTCCCAGCTTTGTGAGGGGGGCTTTCGGGGATACATCCTGCCAAGCCAAGGCGCCGAAACAGGAAGACTTCTGAGCCCTACAGGTTTGAGGGGTTTAGGGTTTAAGGTTTAGGGTTTAGGGTAGGGTTTAGGGTTTCGCGCAAACCCTCCGAGCCGCATGCCAGGGACGATCTGGCGGCTCTCCTCCGCGAGAGCGAAGCGTCCCTGGGACATGTTCGGATATAGGGTTTAGGGTTTAGGGGTTAGGGGTTTAGGGTTTAGGGTTTAGGGTCAGGGATTCAGCAGGCATCCTGACATGACCCAAGTTCACCTGAACCTCCGAGCCCCCACACCCCAAGCTTGCAACCCCTATACCCCCTCAACCCCCCACCCATGACTTAGGCCTTGGGGGTTCATGGGGCTTCAGGGGGCGTTCTAGGTGTACCGAAAGAGGAGTACTTGGGGGGATGTCTGTGTGCTTGGGGGGTTCTGGGCATAGGACCCTAAATCGACGGGGTTGAGGGCGTTTAGGGGTTGTAGGGTTTCGGGCGTTTAGGACTTACCGAGCCTACTGGTGTAGGGCTTCAGGGGTCAGGGTTTAGGGGGTTTAGGCTTCAAACCCCGAAAAACACATTGTAGCCCTGGACTCCTTCAAGACTGCATGTTGGGCAGTGTTGAACTCTAAGCTTAGTATTCACAGAAAGCCGTGTGAGCGTGGGTGCCCTCAACCCTCAACCCTAAGCCCTAAGCCCTAAACGCTAATCCCTAAACCCGCTGGGACGCTGCGGCTGACGTTCTCTCAGCTCGCGCGGTCGCGACTCTTTTAATGGATCTTCTGCTGTGCCGGCATTTCTTGCGGGCTCTCACCGGGTTTAGAGTTTAGAGTTTAGGGTTTTAGGGTTTAGGGTAATTCCTTGCAACAGCATAGCGTATGTTCGAGAAAGGTATGTTTAGCGAACCTGCGGTGATCATCGTTTCCGTCAAGCCCATCAACCCTAAACCCTAGAAGCTGAGTGAGCACGTTTTACACCCTAAACCCTAAACCCCGATAATCTCCACCAAACCAACAGTGTACACTTCTTCGGGCCTTATGAACTCAGCAACTGAGGAACTGTACTTCTAAGACCCCTAAGTCCCCCAAAGTCCTCTAAGTAGATTATAAGTGGACTTATAGTTGGAGTTTTTTGGGGCTTGTGAACTCAGCAACTAGGAAACCCTGAACACCCCGAAGGCCGAATGCTGGATTGATGAGTCAAGGCTAGGGAGTTTTGATACAAGTCGGACACGAGCTGATGCAAACCCTAAACCCTAAACCCTACTACCGAAACCCTAAACCCCAATCCCTCAAGCCTAAACCCTACCTGAAGGCTCTAATGTAGTTCCTTTGGCGGGTAGTTCAAGGGGATTCTAGCATACTACCCAAAAAAGGTACTACAAAGGAGCCTTTGGGTAAACCCTAAACCCTAAACCCTAAACCCCAAACCCCAAACCCTAAACCCTAAACCTTAACCACAAAGGAGCCTTTGGGTAAACCCTAGACCACACCCGCACCTCGGCCCAGGTCTCGCCTGGGATTGGACGTTCATGGCCACCTGGCAGCTCAGGGTGTCGGATTTTCTCGTTTTTTTGTTCAGGGTTCGTTTAGGGTTTTTAGGTTTTTGTTTTTTTTGTTTTGCTTTTTTTGCTTTTAATAGGGTTTTGGGCTTCGGGATTCTCTCGGGTTTTTAGGTTTTTTTTCAGGGTTCGCTTAGGGTTTAAAGGGCTTTTGGGTTTTTTTCTAGGGTTCTCAAGGTTTGTTAAGGATTTCTTTTAGGGCGTTTAGGGGTTTCAGCGATTTGGGGCTTTTTTTTTGGGGGGGGGGGTTTAGGGTTTTACGGCTTGGGGGTGTTAGTGTTTAAAGGTTCTGGGGTTTTCGGGTGCTACGGTTTTGGTTTTGACTGTTTGAGCGCTACCTGGAGGTCGGTTGGAGGTGCTTGGGTGTAACGGGTTTAAAAACTGGGGTGTTGGGCATTTGGGAGGGTTATGAATCATCCGGGTGTTTGGGGCAATTTGAAACCCTAAGCCCGAAACCCATGAACCCGAGGGGTTGTTTGGGATTTGGCTTTGCACCTTTGGCTACCCGGAAAAATCCCGAAACCCCACACCCTGAACCCTAAACCCCAAACCCGAACCCCCAAACCCCACATACCCTAAGCTGCAAACCCTAAACCCGAAACCTTAAAACCCTAAACCCTAAACCCCAAACCCTTGCGAGCCTGGGCAGATTTAGTGATTAGCCCTAAACTACTAGTTCAGGGATTTGCTGAAGAGCCTCCGCCCCCCCCCCCCCCCCCCCCCCCCCCCACCCCAGAAAAAAAAAAAAAGCACAAACATGCTGGAGATGTTGATGCCTTATAAGGGCACTATAGGGAAGATAATCTTTCATTTTTTGGTGTTTCTTAAGCACATCGTAGTAAGCCAGTATAGTCTTCGGCTGCCGGTCAGAAGGACATTCCGAAGGCCGTCGTGGGGAGGAGTTAAAGTTGAGAGTGTAGGGTTTATAGGGCTTCGGGTTGGAAACTTTTGGTTAAGGTTTGGGGGTGGGGGGCGGCAGGTGCCATTGTTTTGTTTTTAGTGCATTTGAGGTCTTGTCTAGCTAAACCCAACACCCTAAACCCTAAACCCTAAACCCTAAACCCTAAACCCTAAACCCTAAACCCTAAACCCATCTCTTTTCGGGGGGGGGGGGGGTTTGGCCCTCGCCCCCTCCGTCCCCTTCTCTGCCTGGAGGTCCTCACGGATAACGACCGAGAAATACATAACAGCAAGAATCACAGAAGAAGAAGAAGAAGAGGAAGGGGAAGAAGAACAAGAAGAGGATTGATAACAATTAAAGTACAAAAAACATAATAGTCCATCGATAGTCGTTAAGAGCATATTTTGGGGTTTGGGCAGAGTTCAGGGTTGATAGGGTTTATAGGGTTTACAGGGTTTATTGGGTTTATTGGGTTTATTGAGTTTATTGGGTGTGTAGGTGTTTAGGGTTTGGGGACTTCATTGTCCTTGTGATCCAACACCCGACAAATTGACCTTTCAGATCCCGCTTCGGGGATGCGGTGGCTACCCTAAACCCTGAGCCCTAAACTCTAATACCCAGGTTTAGGCTTAGCGTACGGCCCTAAATCGGAGACCTTCGTATAGCCCAAAGTCGTCAAACACCTCGAAGCCTTCAATCCCACTTAAGCCCTTAAAAACCCTTAAAGCTCAAGACCTTAAACTTTAAGGCCTTGAACCCGGAAAGGTTTCGGGCTTTAAAGGGTTTTCAGGGCATAGCAACCGGAGAGACCTTCAAGCTATTGTCGCTATGACTCCCAGAAGTTGACCCCAATTTTCTGAACTCCCAAAAAGCCTTTAAAAGAGTTTTCAGGACACACGTGTGCACCGTTTCGGGTGTACTGGGATTTTTGCAGGGCTTGAACAAAAATGCACAGATTTCGGGTTCCTTCCTAACATCCGCGCCCAGGGTACCAAGCAATCGTCACCGCCTGCGCCCGGGCCGCGCAGTGGCGAGAAGCCCTCCAAGTTTTGTAGCTCGTCCTTGGGCTTTGGGGGCTCAGGGGCTTAGAGTTTGCAAAGGCCCGAAACCCTATAAACCCCCTACACCTTCTAAAGCCCCTAAACCATATAACCACTAAGCCACCTTATAAACCCTGAGCACTAGAAACCCTGCACCGTATAAACCCGAAACCCTATGTTCGGGGGTAGAAACAACATCGACTCGGGTGTTCTAGTGGGGTCTGGGAACCCCTATACGCCCTCAAACGACCCCAAACCTAAACCCCGAATTTCTTGGGTTCAGGCTGTTGGGGTGTTAGGATTTTAGGGTTGTCGGGTTTTTGGGCGAGGGTTCGGGGTTTAGGGTTTCGGGTCTAAGGTTTGGGGTTTAGGCTTTGGGGTTCCTTCTGCTTGTACGATCGTCCCCTTGGAGAATGCTCGATAGGCCCTGGCGGTGAACCCTAAACCCTAAACCCTCAACCCTTTTTACCCGTAGTAGGTTTACAGGGATCATAGTTGGGAATATTGTTTCGGCGGGCTCCAGGAGCCAACCCGGGACGGATAATTGTCTTTTTCGGGTTGAGAGTTTTTTAGGGTTTAGGGTTTGTTTAGATTTCAGAGCACCGATCTATTCTGGAAACCCTAGATCCTGAACCCTAAACCCCTTGGACCCTCCTTGGCTTTGAAAGCTAAGCTCTCTGCCCAGGGACCAGATGCAATGGGACAGCATCCAGCCCAACTTGAGCAGCACCTCTGTTGCTGTTTAGCTGCTTAGGGGTTCAGGGCGTAGATAGAGCTTTAAGACCCCTTCCTGGGGTGTCGGGTTAGGGCTTAGGGATAGGCCAGGGATCTAAGAGGGGTTCTAGGCTTAAGGAATCGAAGTTCAGGGGCTTTGGGGTTATATAGCAACAGAAACATCTACAGGGGACTCTACAGGATGTCGTCCGGCTCCTCGAATTGTAAGAGCAGCTAAGGGAGGGGAATTGAGGTTGCGCCCGATGCCATGTTTGGTTGAGGTTAGGAAGGCCAGTGGCGCTCTTGTTGCCCTTCAAGGGTTCTCTGGGTTTAGGGCTTAGGGTTTAGGGTTTGGGGTTTAGGGTTTGGGGTTTAGGGTTTAGGGTTTAGGGTTTAGGGTTTAGGGTTTAGGGTTAGGGTTTAGGGTTTAGGGTTTAGGGTTTAGGGTTTAGGGTTTAGGGTTTAGGGTTTAGGGTTTAGGGTTTAGGGTTTAGGGTTTAGGGTTTAGGTTGAAGCAAGCAACTAGGACCCAGAGTCGACCCTTATTCCCTTGTTTTCGGGCTTGGGGAGGGGGGGGCGGGGGTTCCTTGACAAGCCCCTTGAAACCAAAAAGGCACCCTCTATTGTGTTCCTAGGCTACTCTTGGTCACCCTACACCCTAAACCCTAAACCCCTAAACCCTAAACCCTATGCCCAGGTTACTCTTGGGTCTAGGTAAGCAGCGAGTCAAGCGTGCCCTTTCGGTTCTAGCGATCCTTCTAAGACGTGACAGTTCAGCTGCCACCCGAAACCCTAAACATGAAACCCCAAACCCCAAACCCTAAACCCTAAACCCCAAACCCTAAACCCTAAACCCTAAACCCCAAACCCTAAACCCTAAACCCTAAACCCCAAATTCTAAACCCCAAGCCCTCAAACCTCATCTAACCCAGACCCCCACAACGCCCCCAGGAAGGAGTCGTCAGTTCTAAGCTCTGGGGCTTCGGCCCAAACCCCCCCGACAGCACAGAAGCCTTCCAGGCCCGAGGGCTGCGGTTTAGGGTTTAGGGTTTAGGGTTTAGGGTTTAGGGATTAGGGTTTAGGGTTTAGGGTTTAGGGTTTAGGGTTTGGGGGGTTAGGGTTTAGCGGGTCAGTAGCTTGTAGAGCACGGTATAGTGTGCGTGCGATGTCCATGCCGCCTGAAGTCGAACCTTGTGCGAGTGCTCTCCTGCAGAACTCCGCAGGAGGAGAAAGACCTGTCAAAACGGTCCAAGAAGTTTTGCAAGTTGCAAGTGCTTCGGCCACAAAGTTGCGTTGGCTGCCATCTGTCGTGGCCGTACACCCGCAGAACCGTGATGGGGCTGGCCTCAACAGTGGGGACGTACATGACTTACACTCAACAGTGTGATTGAAGTTGGAGTCGATTCTGAGATTAGGGTGTTTAGGGGGACTAGGGGGGTTAAGGGGATTCGCGCGTTTAGGTTTGAGGGTGTTTAGGGGGTTAAGGCGGTTTAGGGGGCTTTGGGGGGGGTTTAGGGGGGTTATATATATATATATATGAATATATGTATATATGTATATACCCCTCGAAAGATTATGTAGGCCATAGCGCCTCATTCCCTACCTAAGAAAGGAGTACGATTTTCGGGGCTTGGGGGGCTGTTGGGCTGGGGGATGAAGGGGAAACCCTTAAACCCTTCAATCCTTAAACCCTTAAACCCTTAAACCCTTAAAGCCTTAAAGCCTTGAAGCCTTAAACCCTTAAACCCTTAAACCCTTAAACCCTTAAACCCTTAAACCCTTATTTATATAAAGGGGATTTAAAGTACCTAGAGCCTTTAATCCCTACGAAGAACCAGTAAGAAATCTCTGCATGGACGTATCGGGTTCTGAGGCTGCAACAGCGCCATCAGCGCCTGTGGGCGTGGCAGCTGCTGGCCAGGCTTGGATGGTTTTCAGGGATTAGGGTTTAGGGTTCAGGGTTTAGGGTTTAGGGTTCAGGGTTTAGGGCTTATGGCTGAGGGTTCAGGGTTTAGGGTTCAGGGTTCAATTTTAGGGTTGTGGTCTCGGAGTTGCGATGGAAGGCTAGTTCAGGGGGTTCCTCGCGGGTTGGTTCAGGATCACTGGGACCTCCTCCTATATACTCCCAATTGCACAAAGAAAGCAGGGAGTCCTGCCTTAAACCCTAAAACCCCCTTAAACCCTAAACCCCTAAACACCTAAACCCCCAAACCCTAAAACCTTTCCCCTAAGCCGTAAACCCTTCCCCCGACTGTTAGTTGGGGTTCACGACTTCGAGTTCAGAGTTTAGGGTTAAAGCCCCCCCCAAAACGACCAGACCCTAAACCCTTAAGCGCCACGATGTCCAACGTGAATTTCTGCTACTACTGCTTATATTGCTATTACTGCCGGAGGCTAGTACTAGTTGCGATGATGACGTAGTGTGCCGCACGCTGGGGTGGATGCCATGCAATTTAGCATACTTGGAGGTTCATGGTACCGATTAATTAACCCAATTCTAACTGCACTTATAGCCTGCTTATAACCATATTTGGGCACTTCAGGGGGCTTGTAAGTGGGTTATAGGTACAGGTATAATGGGGTTATAAGTACCTTGAATATTCAAGTAAGGGCTCCGGATTCCCGAAGATGTTTGGTGCAGGGTTTAGGGTTTGGGTTTAGGGTTTAGGGGGTAGTGCTTAAGGTTTCGGGTTTAGGGTTTATCAGGTTTGGGGCGGTTTAGGGTTTAAAGTCCCAAGTGATCCTAGCCACAAAAAACCCCAAACCCGAAGCCTCAATACCCAAAACCTTAAATACGTAACGCGCAACCTAACTGAAGCCCTTAACCTCCCCCCCCCCCCCCCCCCCAACAACCCTTGAATCCTAAACCTAACAACCCCTATAACCCTATAAACCCTACACCCCCCTGTAACCCAATAAACCCTAAACCCCCAAAATCCCAAAAACCCTACAAACCCTAAATCCCAATAACCCTTAAACCCTAAACCCCTATAACCCGATAAACCCTAAACCCCCATAACCCTATAAACCCTAAACCCCAATAACCCTAGAAACCCTAAACCCCTATGACCCTAGAAATCCTAAACCCCAATAACCCTCAGACCCTAAACCCCTATAACCCTAGAAACCCTAAACCCCAGTAACCCTCAGACCCTAAACCCCTTGAACCCTAGAAACCCTAAACCTCTATAAACCTACAACCCTAGAAACCCTAAACCTCTATAACTCTATAACCCTAGAAACCCTAAACCTCTTTAAGCCTACAACCCTAGAAACCCTAAGGCTCTATAACCCAACCCCCCCACCATTCCAGGAGCCCTGGCCCTCCTCCAAGAGCTCCGTGCACGGAAGGAAGGGCTTCAGGGAACTTAGGGGGTTTAGGGGGAACTTAGGAAGTTGAGGAAGTTGAGGGAGTTTAGGGAGTTTAGCGAGTTCAGGGGTTTAGGGGGAACTTAGGGGTTTAGGAAGTTGAGGGAGTTTAGGGAGTTTAGCGAGGGGGTTTAGGGGGAACTTAGGGGGTTTAGGAAGTTGAGGGAGTTTAGGGAGTTTAGCGAGTTTAGGGTTTAGGGTTTAGGGTTTAGGGTTTAGGGTTTAGGGAATATTTGGGGTTTAGGGTTTAGCGATTAAGGGTTCAGGATTTGGGCGCTAGGTTTGGGCTTTCCACCTGCAGGGGTCTCTGGGGCTACTGCAGAGGTTGAGGGGTTCGGGGTCAAGCGGAGAGGGATTTAGGAGTTTGGGCTTCTCTGAGCTTAGGGTAGGGCGTTTTGGGCTTCATTTTGGGTAGGGGATGCTTCGGGAAGGGGTACCTTAGCAAAGGATCCCACACGCAAAACCCAAGAGGATAACAAAGAGGTCGGGCGTTTCATTGCGCTGCGTGGCAACCCCCAGAGCTGTCCTTGCCCCGAAATCCTGAAAGCAAGTCCAGACTTTGTTTAAAGCCTTGACCCGCGAAAACCCTTAAACCTTTCTCCGCTACTCCCCTAAGGCCTGTAGACAAGGGCCCTGCCGGCCCAACACAAAAGAATAGCAAGTAAGAGCCCTGGAGCGTGGTACATGCAACCCGCCAGACACGAAACTTGGCCCTGAAGCCCTTAAACCGTAACCCCCTCCCAAAGCCTCCTAAACACCCAGACACCCCAACCTTTAAATCCTAAATCTCCCTGAGCCCTCTACCCTCAGCCCTAAAACTCTAAATCCCGCCAGACCTTAAGCAAAGAAAGCACCCCTCGACCCTAAACCCAGCCCCCTCCCCCCCCCCACCCCTTCTCAGACCTTTAAAGACCGAAAAGTGCCCTAAACCCTAAGCCCTAAACCCTAAACCCTAAACCCTAAACCGCCAGACTCGGGTGGACTTGGTCGGCCTGAACGCGACGGCCAAGGCCCTGGCGAAAGCGAGTCGCTGGCGCCAGGCTGGAAGTTCAGGGGCTTTACGACGGTTTAGGGTTTTGGGGTTTTAGGGTTTTAGTGTTTAGGGTTATATAATGGTTTAAAGGTTTAGGGTTTGGGGTTTTGGGGTTTAAGGGTTTGGGGTTTAGAGTCCCTATGTGGGTACTGCCCAAAAAAGGAGGCTTTAGGGTTTAGGGCTTTCTTAGGGTTTAGGGTTTTATGGTTTTTTGGGGTTTTAGGTTTAGGGTTAAGGGTTTAGGGTTTAGGGTTTCTCAGCGGCTCAGGGGGTTGGTTTAGTGCTTGGCTTGAAGGGTCTCAGGGTTTTAGGGTTTAGGGTTTAGGCTTAGGGGCTTTGGGGGCTTTTGGGCTTTAGGGGCTGTAGGGTTTTGGGCTTGAAGGGTTTTAGGGTTTCGTAGGTAGGACCTTTACGGTCGATTTGGCGCGTGCTTTTGGGGCTCTTGAATCTCAAAGATGTTTTAAAGCCCCGGGAGCCTAAACGTTGGGATGTTCCCCCTTATACTAGCAGCCCTCATTGAGGATTGTAATAGGGGGTACTATAATCCCTCTGATCGGAGCTGTGAGTATAAGGGTAACATCCCAAAATGTATACACGCTTTAACAACATTTTGAAAGGTCTTACTGAAACATGTTTTGGGGCTCCGGATGCTCTGGGTCTTCCGGGGGCCTCTTTAAACGGATTTAGGGTTTGGGGTGTCGGGTTTAGGGTTGGGTTAGGGTTTAGGGTTTAGGTTTCAAAGTTTAGAATCTTTATGAACCTGTAGGATTTAAATGCGCCGAAAGGCTCCGGGGCCTCCCTGGGCCTTAGAAACTTTTGAAACCTTTAGAATCTTTAAACTTTACATGGGGCTAAGGGCTCCGGGGCTACCCGGGGCCCCAAATCTTTAAAAAGTTCCAGATCTTGAGTTTAAGTGGGGCTTCAGGCTACAGGCCTTCCGGGGCCTTGCTTGAAATCTTTGAAATTTAGGGGTTAGGGGTTAGGGGTTTAGGGTTTAGGGTTTAGGGTTTAGGGTTTAGGGTTTAGGGTTCCTTTCAAGACTTGAAAAATTAGATGGGGCCGCAGGCTGCTGTTTTGGCGGCAGTTACCTTGCGAATATTAGCAAAGTCGAAGACGCCCCAGGGGCCCGGGAGCCCTTAGCCCCAATTAACCCTAAACCCTAAACCCTAGCCCTAAACCCTAAACCCTAAGCCCTAAACCCTAAGCCCTAAACCCTAAACCCTAAACCCTGCAATTTTTGGAATTGACTTGGGGTCTGGAGCCTCCCGGGGCCTTGAATTCTACGATATCTATAGAAACATGAAAACGATCGAGCTTACTCCCGGGGCCCTTGAACATATCATAGTGTTTAGGGTTTTGGGTTTAGGGTTAGACTTAGAATGTTCACAGCCATATTTACATGGGGCTAAAGGCTCCGAGGGCCTTGATAAAGCTTTCGACCTGAAGCCCTAAACCCCTCAACCCTGAACCCGAAACCTTGTACCCTCAACCCAAAAAACCTGAAATTGCACGAGACTCGATGTGGAGTTTAGAGTTTAGGGTTTAGGGTTTAGGGGTTAGGGCTTAGGGTTTAGGGTTTAGGGTTTAGGGTTTATTGGGGCTAAAGGCCTCCCGTGTTCGACTTAGCAGTGAGGGTTCAGGATCTTTCTCGCTACCCTCTTCTTCCAGGGACCTGAGAGTCGAATCCTTAAGGGTCGGTTTAGGGTTTAGGGTTTAGGATTTAGGGTTTAGGGTTTAGGGTTTAGGGTTTAGGGTTTAGGGTTTAGGGTTCAGGGTTTAGGGTTTAGGGTTTAGGGTTTAGGGTTTAGGGTTTGGGACTATACAAGGTATGTGTATCTGTATATAACCTGTATGTATACTTATATATAGAGCATACATGCATATATATATATAATATATATATATATATATATATTTATTTATGTGTGTACACATTGTTATATCTGCGTGTATAGGAGTTATATAGGCTAGCAAAATTAAGGGTCCGTTCCACGGGGGTTTGGAGGTCCTTGCCTTGCTGGATTCACTTCGAGAGGAGGGCATTGAGCCCGAGACTTGGAGACAAGTATTCAAGGGACTAAAGGAGGGACCCTTATAACTTCTAAGGGACCTTAAGTAAGAATATTTTGGGGTTTATCAAGGGGGGGGGGAATATGATTAGGGTCCCTCTAGAATTCCCTCCTTAAACCCCGAAAAATATGTGGTTCACTTGGAGGTTCATGGGTAGTTAGAGGTGGGTCATAAGTTAGAAGTAAGCAACTACAATTATGATTGTCTATTTCCTTTTTTTAGGGTGCTTATCACCCTGCTTATAGCTACCCCTGAACCTTCAAGTAGGGTTTTCGGATGCAATCTAAGCCTTATAAACGCGGACTCGTCACGGTTTAGAGTTCAGGGTTTAGCGTTTAGGGCTTAGGGGGCGCCGCAAGCTCGTTGTATAAGAAGCTTTGCCGTCCTCATCCGTCCTCATTCGATTTCCCAGCACGTATCTTTGAACTGCCCTAAGCACAGGTGTACAGGAGCCTAAACATTACTTGCTACAGTGATCCCCTGACAGTCTTGTATAGGCAGAACCTAGACTGCTTAAGAACCGTGCTGGCCCTTTTTTGTTAATAACCCTAAACCCTAACCGGTCTGAGTACCACAAATGTCCTGGACCTGAACTCTACAGTCTCTAGGCTGGGTCGCCATCCAGAAAGCTTAAATCATTTTACCGTATCATGGTCATATGTATGTATAGATATATATGTATATACAGGTACACCTTGTGAAGAACATGGCTCCTGATTATGGTACCTTACTGTCAGTCCTTAGCAGCAACCATGCAGAGCACTGGATTTTCCAACAGCTGATGACACTGCCACTGCCACCCTAAACCCTAAACCGCAACCCCGCAGAGAACATGTGCTTGAAAGCAAGACATTTTCTAAACCCTAAACCCTAAACCCTAAACTTCTGGTCCTTCTCCTACACCCCAAAGATCCCTCCAGCCTCCGCCGAGGATGTTGTGACCTACACCGTGCTCATGGAGGCGGCACAGAGGTGCAACCCCAAGCAGCGGTTTAGGGTTTAGGGTTTGGGTTTTGGGGTTTGGGGTTTGGGGTTTGGGGTTTGGGGTTCGGGTTTACGGTTGAGGGTTTAAGGGGAGTTCACAACCCAAGGTTCCCGAATACTCCCCAATACTCCCTAAGCTTCCCGAAGGTCCCCTATAGGTACCTACCCCCATGAACGCCCCTCCCTTAAGAACCCTATAACCTAAGCCGCCATACATGCCGAAAAGCTTGGGTTTACATGCGGCGCTTGGGGTTTGAGGGTTTGGGGTTTAAGACATTAGCCTTGGGGTTTCAGGGCTTCAGAAGCCTAGGGTTTACGGAGCTTCGGGTTTTGGGGTTTAGGGTTTGGGGTTTAGGTTCAGGATTGCGGGTTGAGGGTTTCGGGAGGTTTTGCGAGCAGAACGCCGGACGTAGATTGAAAAACACCACAACCACCGCTCCCACGGTTTTCGATCAGGGGTTTTGGGTTTAGGGTTCAGGGTTTATGTTTTTGGGAGTTAAAGAGGGCTGCAAGAAGCCACATGTCGATGCCTTCGCCTACTAGTTGCTTGAGAACCCCCAAAAAACGAAGATAATGCTCCCAATGTTACACTTATAAGGAGTAATCCCTTGTTTTTGGGAATTCTTAAGCTAACCCTAAACCCTAAACCCTAAACCCTAAGTATCGAGTAGTCGCAGGAGCAGAAGTTGGTCCAGAGCCTTTGACGCCCTTCACGAGCTGCGGCAGCGAGCCTCGGACTGGGTCGGCAGAGGGTGGTTCTGGGGTTTCAGGTTTTGGGTTTTGCCCAAAACTCTAAACCCTAAACCCTAAAACCTAAACCCTACACCTAAACCCGAATCCCTAAACCCCTGCGTTTAGGGGCTTTAGGATTGCAGGGTCCTAACCTTGAGGTCCTACAGCACGCAGCTTCCTCAGCTTTTAGTGCTTGGGGTTTAGGGTTTAAGGTCTATTCGCCCTAAACCTTAAGCCCTGAACCCTAAACTCTAAACCAAACCCTGAAGTCTAAACCCCATATAGGGTTTAGGGTCGTCAGCTGCCATGCTTCAGCTTGGCGAATTCTATGTTCATGGGGCTAAATGGGCCCTAAAAGGGTTTATGGTTCGTTTAGGGTAGGGATTGTAGTAGTATAGCTATCTAGTCTCAGGGACCTAGTAATCGAGTCCTTAAGAGTTCGAGTAGCCTAAGTACTCGGTCCTTGGAAGTATAGGCTGGGGTATGCTACACCCTAAACCCTGAATCCTGAACCCTACACCCTAAACCGTAAACGCTCACCCCATTTTTAGGGTTCATTTGGTTCCCAGTGATGTGGCCCGCGTTGTGAAGGCTTTGGAAGGTACTGGTACGTCTCTATTAGGAGCTTTGTCAGGGGAAGGGTTCAGCTTTAGCCCATTAAACCGGTTTAGGGTTTAGGGTTTAGGGTTTAGGGTTTAGGGTTTAGGGTTTATGGTGTACCACAAGGCTCGAATGTAGTTCCTTTCCGGGTAGGGGATTCGACCCAACAAGGTACCTTTTGGGTAGACCTTAAACCCGGACACTCAGGACAGCTGCAAGCAGATGCGTGCCACGGCTGTCATTTTGTTTACACACCCGGGTGCGGTCGCGAGAACAAACTTCAAGTTGAAGAAGGCATTTTTCCCTAGTCCCTATGCCTATATTGCATAAACTTGAACCCGATCAAGGTTTGGGGGGGGGGGGGGGGAGGGGGGGGGGGGAGGGCGGGGGGGGGGGAGGGGGGGGGGGGGGGGAGGGGGGGGGAGGGGGGGGGGGAGGGGGGGGGGGGGAGGGGGGGGAGGGGGGGGAGGGGGGGGGGGGGGGGGGGGGCGGGGGGAGGGGGGGGGGGAGGGGGGGGGGGGGGGGGGGGGCGGGGGGGGGGAGGGGGGGGGAGGAGGGGGGGGGGGAGGGGGGGGAGGGGGGGGGGGGAGGGGAGGGGGGAGGGGGAGGGGGGGGGGGAGGGGAGAGGGGGAGGGGGGGGGGAGAGGGGGGGGGGGGAGGGGGAGGGGGGAGGGTGGGGGGGAGGGGGGGGGGGAGGGGGGGTCCTGCATTTTGAAACTCGAGGAGCTCGGAGGATGTGGGCTTGGAGGGTCTGTGGCTTGCTTGGCGCTTTGGGATTTCGAGTCTCAGCAGGTCCATGCACGCACATGGTGCACAGTCCCTACCTAATGTAGTTCCTTTTTGGGTTAGTTAAATGGGATTTCAGTATACTACCCGAAAAAGGTACTACATAGGAGCCTTTGGGTAAACCCTGAACCCAAGAGCCCCGCATGAGGCGCCAACAGCGTTGTTGCCTTGCGGTGCGGAACACATTTGAGGGTTTACGAAAATCGGGGACCCCCTAAATAGACCCCCCCCAAGTAGAAGGATCCCCTTATAATGAGGAACCCAAAAAAGGTACCCCCTCCCCCCTATTTTCGGAAACCCCCATTTCTGTTCATGAGGAGGGGCAAGGTTTGTAACCCTTCTCTCTGTAGCCCAGGCCAACGCCTCCCAATCACGTCTTGCAACATTTTGACTGTTTCCGACGTCTCAAGTTATGTTAGCATTTAGACCGTTTCGTTATCCGTTAAGAACTCTTTACATGGCAAGTTTGCATGGGTAGTTCTCGAAATTAGGGTCCCTTTCGGGGGTCCTCATTACAAGGGTGCCATGCTATATGTAGGATCCCAAAAGGGACCGACGTTTAGAGCGTATGTTTTTTCAATTGCAATTGAAACAATTCCTGTTTTGCGAAGGGCTCAAGACAGTCCTTCGCCTTCGTTCAGGATTTAGGGTTTAAGGTTTACCCAAAGGCTCCTTTGTAGCACCTTTTTTGGGTAGTATACTAGAATCGCCTTTATCTAACCCCAAAAGGGGCTACATTGTTAGCCTTCAGATATGGGTTTAGGTTTTTGCGTTTCAGCGAAGGGAACGCCTTGCAAGCGGAAAGAAAGGTTCGGGTTTGGGCTTCAGGTTCAGGGCTTAGAGTTTAAGGTTTCGGTTTTAGGGTTTTGCGGGTTTCAGGGTTTTAGGCATTTAGGGTTTTAGGGGTTAAGGTTTTAGGGTTTGGGGTTCAGGGTTCTAGGGTTTAGGGTTTCGGGTTCCGGGCCCTTCCCCAGGATTTGCTTCACTGCGCTGCTGTCCGCAGTTCAGGGTGGCGCGCAGTGGCGGCTGGCACGGGAGGTGCTGGCAGACATGGCGAGGAGGGGGGAAAATTTGTAGACAGGAGGGTCTAGCGTTTAGGGTTTAGGGTTTATAGGGTTTTAGGGTTTAGGGTTTAGGGTTTAGGGTTTATAATAGGGTTTAGGGCAGACATGGCGAGGAGGGGGGAGCCCATGGGGTAATGTAGAGGTATAATAGTTAGAATAGCGCTTTGCGGGATTATTATTGTGGAGTTATATAAGGGCCATAAGGGAATAGCATCGATTCGTAATTATTCCGACCCCTATGTTAGAGGGTTTAGGGTTGGGAGTTTGGGGTATGACTTGCCCGAACTACACCCTAAAGTGTCAACATTTCCGACACCCTAAACGCCTGAGGCTAACACGCACTGCAAGGGTTGTGTAAGTGCTGCGGGCAGAACCTCAAAGGATGTCCGCTGCGGAGCTTCTGTTCAGATCCAAGGTGTACGGTTTATGGTTTAGGGTTTATAGGGTTTTGTGGGGTTTAGGGTTTAGGGTTTGGGGTTTAGTGTTTAGGATTTGTCGGGTTTAGTGTTTAGGGTTCTGGGAACAAGTTGGCGGAGCTTCGTCTCTCGGCGCAGTGGTTTTACGAGGACGGGTGTAGCTTCAGCTCTCAAGTTTTTGAGAGCAGCATCTTCAAGTGAGCAACTTCTACCAACGACATATGGAGGCAAACATCTGAACCTAAATCTTAGATCCTGGAACACGCACAAACGCTAGGGAAACAAGAGCTATGCAGACCCCGGCGTTTTAGGACCCGAGTGCAGTGCGACCTCATCAGCAGCTTGGACGCAACATTTATCGGCTAAGTGCTATTTCATGTTTGTTTTCCAAAAATCTTCCATATTCCTTTTAATTCTAATGATTTAGTTTTGTAGCTTTTTTTGTGCTTTTGTTTAAGTTTTATTCATGCTACTTGTGTTAAAGGGGGGCAAGAAAGCGTGTCCGGGTTGACGTTGTCGGGTTGGGATGCGTTCAAGCTTCAATCAAGTCGCTGAAAGGAACTTGACTTCAGGGTGCTCGAAGTCTCTTCTACTGTGGCACTACTTGTTCAGGTCTCAGCTAAGACTTGTTGTCTAGCTTGATGCTGAGGTCCTTGGCGAACTCTGACGGTTACTCCAACGAAGTCTTAGGCCGAAATCATAGGATCCGCAACCCCAATCTCGGAGCTCACCCGCCAGCAGCTCAATGCAGGTTTAGGGTTTAGGGTTTAGGGTTTAGGGTTTAGGGTTTAGGGTTTAGGGTTTAGGGTTTAGGGTTTAGGGTTTAGGGTCATTGTCAGGACGAGACTCACGTTTCCGAGCCCGCAACCAGCTTCCAGCCCATGAGCTCGCCAGGTACCCGAAACCGGACTCCACTTCGCTAAATCGTGTTGAACAGTGCCCGAAGGTTCATGGGCATATTTCTCCCCTACACCCTAAACCCTAGACCCTAGACCCTAAACCCTAAACCCTAAACCCTAAACCCAATTCTGCTAATTCAAGCCCAACGAAAAACAGGCTACAATGCTGCACTGGCCGCTTCTCAGGAGGGCCCTTGGTGGTTAGCAGCGGCTGGGCCCAAAGGGATTTCCCGCAGCATTGGGGTTTGGGTTTGAGTTTAGGGTTTAGGGTTTAGGGTTTAGGGTTTAGGGTTTAGGGTTTAGGGTTTAGGGTTTAGGGTTTAGGGTTTAGGGTTTAGGGTTTAGGGTTTAGGGTTTAGGGTTTAGGGTTTAGGGTTTAGGGATGGTTGAGGATTTTAGGCGGTCGGATTATGTCAGGTCGCCACCAACAGAAAACCGAGATTTCGGAGCAAAGCGCTCAAAGTCGAAAGCGCAGTTTCTCACTTTCAAACAAGGGGCTAGGTGGTCGAGATTCAGGGCTCGGTTGACGTTTGTTTAAGGTTCAGGAGTTCGGGAAGTAGTCTTTTTGTGATAAAGGCTCAATCCTTAACCCCTAAACCCTAGGTAGAGTGGCTTTCCTTAAGGCTGAACCTTAAGTCCTGAAGCCTATCCCCTCAGCCCAAAGAACTGAAGCCTGAATTCAGGGCCTAGGGGATCGGCTGGTTGGCGAGATCAGGGTTTAGGGTTTAGGGGTTAGGGGTTAGGGGATCCGAGTTTGCAAAATGTCTTAGTCGGCAGAGTTATGCTGTACCCCGTGCAGCTCCGTCTAAAGAGCAAACCCCAAACCCTGATCCCCAAACCCTGATCCCCAAACCCCTAAACCCCAGACCCTAAACCCCAAACCCCTAAACCCCAAACCCATAATCCCCCAACCCCTAAACCCCAAAACCGCAAACCCTAATCCCCAAACCCCTCAACCCCAAACCCTAAACCCTAAAAGCCCGAAACCCCAAACCCCCAAACCCCTAATCCCCAAACCCATAAACCCCAAACCCTAAACCACAAAACCCTACACCCCAAACCCCTAACCCCTAAACCCCAAACCCGTACTCCCAAAACCCCTAAACCCTTACTCCCCAAATCCCCAAACCCCAAACCCCTAAATCCAAAACCCCCAAACCCCCAAACCCTAAAACCCTAAACCCCAAACTCAAGACCCCAAACCCCTGATCCCCAAACCCTAGCCCTATACTTCCAGGGACCTAAAAATAATTGAGTCCTTGAGGGTTCTAGTATGGTCCCAGGAAGTTTAGGGTAAACTCTAGCCCTAAACCCTAAACCCTAAGCCCCAAACCCTAAACCCTAAACCCTAAACCCTAAACCCTAAACCCTAAACCCTAAACCACATGAGGTGGGGCTCCTCGATGAATTGCGGAGCAGCACGGTCTCTCCAGACGTTGTCAGCCACTCGGCGGCTCTGAGGCGGATCATGGTGCGAAGAGGGGCTGTGACTATAAGGGTTGAGTTTAGGGTTTAGGGTTTAGGGTTTAGGGTTTAGGGTTTAGGGTTTAGGGTTTCGTGTTTAGGGTTTAGGGTCCCTAAACCCTAAACGAAAAACCCGGGCTTAGGGGGGCCATGGGGGCCTCTTGGGCCCCTGGTCCTTGAAACCCAGGGGGAGGCGAGGTTTGCTGGGCTGCGTCTGCTCTCCTGGGACTTAGGGTTTGCGATCCAGGGTTTGGGGTTTGGGGTTTAGGGTTTAGGGTTTAGGGTTTGGGGTTTAGGGTTTAGGGTTTGGGGTTTAGGGTTTAGGGTTTAGGGTTCAAGATAAACTACAAAATCCCTGAATCTCGCGAAGCCTGGGGTCATCGAGGCTTCAACGCCACCATCACAGCCTGCCTAAAAAGCGAGCGCTGGCAGCAAGGACTCCACCTCCTAGAGGCCTGCCTTTCGCCCTGGTTCCCTAAACCCTAAACCCTAAACCCTAAACCCTAAACCCTGGTTCCCTAAAAAAAACCCTCAGGTCCCTTAAAAGGTTCCCGCCTTTCGTTCCTTGATAGTAGGGAATGAGGGAATGAAGGCCCTTCATATACTATACCCCTTAAGGGATTACATGGGGCTTATAGGGTTGATAGAGGGTTGATATAGGGTTGATATGTAGGGTTGGTACATGTAGGGTTGATATGGAGAGTTCCCTAAAGTATGGCCCCTTTTATGGTCCGCATTATGATGCGGCCCCTCTTATTTCGGGTGCCCAAAAAAGGGACCGTAATTTCCCTAAACCCTAAACCCTAAACCCTAAACCCTAAACCCTAAACCCTAAACCCTTGGATTCTGTAGAGTTGATGGAGTTTTTTCAAGGGCTCAGAGGGCTGATGGACTCGAGGGCCCCCTGCCTTATTGGGTTGGTAGGGCTGCGGCCCAAAGGAGTTGAGGGTTTAGGGTTTAGGGTTTAGGGTTTAGGGTTTAGGGTGTAAGGGTGTAGGGTTTAGGGTTAAGGGGTTCAGAGGTTTAGGGTTTTTTGGGCTTAGGTTTTTGTTGGGGCTTTTGGGTTTTTTTTTTTAAAGGGCTTGTAGCTTCTTGTTCACAGGACTTGGGGGTTTTTAGGGATTTGGAGCTCGGGACCTTTCTAGGGTTTTGAGTTTCGGGTTTAGGGTTTAGGGTTGTGCGACTACAGCACGACATCCTAACGATTCCAAAGGGGAGCAGATCGGAGGTCGTACTGGACCCGAGAGCGTAAGTTCCTACGCATGAACCCTATCCGCCCTATAGACTCCACCCCTAAACCCCCAAACTCTCACACCCGAAGCCCCTAAACGCTTGAACCCTAGACCCTAAACCATGACTTTCGGCTGAGGGTTCCAGTTTTCCTACTACTACAATGAATGCAAACTACTTCAGCACTATCTTATTTATGGACCCTGGCAGCTCCTGTTTCATTCGGGTGACTCTTTTGTTGTTCTCAGGTGTTCTGGGTGCGAATTTATGTGGGTTTCCAAGATTCCACTCAGCATGTCCCAAACAACGGCGGACTCCGTCGTACGAGCTCTCGATGTACCTTCTGGTGGGGCGGGCACATACACCAGCGAGGTCTACGTTTTCCAGGAACAGGAGAAGTTGGATTTCTGCGGGTTGGCGCGACCCCGTGTCTTCTGGGTTGTGCGCCGTCTGGTGGCCTTCCTGGGCGGACACAACGGGACCAACTTCGTCGCAACTTCCATCGAGGCCTGGGCAAACAAGCTTGCGAAACTGCTTGGCGGCGTAGAATCCACCATAGCGACGGGCGAGACGGCCCGAACCCCTTCACCCTATACTCCTAAACTCCTGAACCCCTCAACCCTAAAACCCTCAACCCTAAATGCCTAAACCCTAACCCCCAAACCCCTAGACCCTAAACCCCAAACCCTCAACCTTAAACCCTCAGTTGCTCATTTTTACGATCCTTTGTGTGATCCGGCAGCCCATCCTAAACCCTAAACCCTAAACCCTAAACCCTCAACCCTATACACCTAAGAGGTGCTACGAGACCAACATCTGCAGCCGAAGCTTCAGCTGCAGACCCGAATTTTGTGGCTTCGGGCCTATGAGTTTCTTGGTAGGAGGGAAGGTTAGGGTTTAGGGTTTAGGGTTTAGGGTTTAGGGTTTAGGGTTTAGGGTTTAGGGTTTAGGGTTTCGGGTTTCGGGTTTCGGGTTTCGGGTTTCGGGTTTCGGGTTTCGGGTTTCGGGTTTGGGGCCTAGGGGTTGAGGCTTCAGGGTTCTAATTTCGGAAACCCATATATAGCTTAGGGCTTACCCAAAGGCTTGTATGTAGTACCAGTTTTGGGTAGTATACCAGAATCCCCTCTAGCCAACCTAAGAAGGAACTACGTTCGGGCTCCAGGTAGACGCCGCCTGCCTTTTCGGGGGCTCTCTGGGTAAGGTTTAGGGTTTTGGGTTTTGGGTTTTGGGCTTTAAATTTTGGGTTTAGGGTTTAGGGTTTATGGGTCTTGGAGCCGTGTAAACCTCAAACCCCGAACTCCTATAAGCCCTCAACACCTAAAGCCCCGAAACCTAAGCCCTCAACCCCCGCCCCCCCCCCAAATCAGGGAGCTGCTAGGGGGTTCAAGGGTTTGGGGTTTGTTGGGTGTAGGGGTTTAGTGGTTTAGGGTTCAAGGGATCAAGGGTTCAAGTATTTAGGGTTGAGGGTTTTGGGGGTTGCGGGCCTCTAAGTGTTGCGGAGTTCGGTTTTCAGTTGGGGTGGTCAAGGCTCTACGGCTTGGGGGTTTACAGGAGTTACAGGAGTTACAGGAGTTACAGGAGTTACAGGTTTTAGGGCTTGCCTTAAGAACCCATAACCTTTTTTGTAGGTTACCTGAGAACCTTATAAGGGGTTTTGGAAGAAGAACCTACAAAAAAGTAAGTTTGGGGTTCTTAAGGTAGGGCCCAGGACCTCTGCCACCTTTGATGCCGCCACGAGCGCATGCGAAAAGGGTACAAGGCGAATCCGCCTGTTGGTTCGGGGTTAAGGGTTTACCCGAAGGGTTTAGGGTTTAGGGTCTATAGGGTTTAGGGTTTAGGGTTTAGGAATTACACATTTACATACCCGACTCATAGCCTCCTGAACCTTTTTGGGGTACTGTACTAGAATCCCCTTGAACTAACCTTCAGGTAGGTTTTAGGGTGTAGCGTGTGTAGGGGTTGGAAATATGGGGGGTTGGGGGCTTATTATAAGGCTTCTCGGTTCAGGCTATGGGTTTAACGACTCTGTCCACTCACTGTCCCCGAAGTTCATGGTTTAGCCTTCAGGGTGGTGCCTTCGTTGTGAGAAGATGAGTTTCAGAGTGTTTAGGGTTTGGGGGTAACGCTGCTTGCCTTGGGAGGAGGGGATGTATCTTCTGGGTAAAGAGCTTGACTGGGATCCTTCGATACATGGGCTGCCTAGTTGCCCCCTCTCCAGCACACCCCCAGAAGCGGTGCGACGACTGTCACGTGACGATTCTGGGGTCGTTGTTTGAATTGGGGACACCTTCAACCCTCACCCTTAACCCTGGAGCTCAAACCCTAAACCCTTACACTCTAAACCCTTATTATCGGTGATATTGGGGTGTGTACTTGAAGCCCCCCCTCCCCCCCCTCCCCCACACCCGGAGACCTCCTAAAACCCTAGAAAGGAGACCTCCTGAAACCCTAGATCCCCCAAAGCCAGCCCTAATGTTTAGGGTTTAGGACCCTCAAAGGCACGCGGCTGCATGTCTCGCCGCTGCCGCTTGTCCAGCCCAACAGAAGGTTATACTGTCACACAAGCCCCTTGAACCCTTAAACCCTACAGTAAACCCCTTTCGCTGAGCCCCAAAACCTTGAACCTTACACACAAACCCTAAACCCTAAACCCCAGACCCTAAACCCTAAACCCTGTTCAGGTGGCTCGCAGCCTTGTCATTCCTGCGAGCGCGCTGGTCGAAGGCAGAGAAGGCCGATTCCCATGGCATCTCGGAGGATTTCCATGGATACTTATATATATATATATATATATACACACATGAATACATGAATACATGAAATCATGAATACATGGTCTTATCTTTTCTTATACTATACTATAAAAAGTGTAAATACGTTCACTATAGTATATCATATGATTGAACATTCTATTGGTTTGTATTCTAATTTACTGTATTATATTATATGATATGATATTATATTCTATGATATTATATGATATTATATGATATTATATGATATTATATAAAGCTTTCTATGGTAGTCTAAAGCGCGGCTCAGGGTTTAGGCTTTAGGGCTTCGGGGTTCAGAAGCTTTGCAGGGCTTTAGAGATTTCGAGGCACCGCAAGCCTCCCTTCCAGCCGGTTGAGAGTCTAAACCTCCCAGTCCCTGACCCCTGGAGAACTGGGGGCCTGAACCCCCGAATCCTTGAACCCAAACCCCAAACCCTAAACCCCAAATCCTAAACCCCAAACCCTAAACCCTAAACTCTAAACCCTAAACCCTAAGCGTCTGAGCCTGAGGCAGCCGTTCCTTCAGAGGCGAGTCGCCCCTGTTGCAGGCCAGGGCCCCGTGGCTTCGGCCTGGCTTTTTAGCGGTTTTTGGAGCTCACTGGGGGGGGGGGGGGGGGGTATGTAAGGGGTTTGGGGTTTAGGGTTTACGGTTGGGGTTTAGGGTTTAGGGTTTAGGGTGTGGGGTTCGAAGGAGAGTTAAATGGGTATAGAAGCGGTTTTTCAGGGGCCCGTTTTGGGACCATGTTACTACCCTCAGATGTTAGGGTTTGGGGTGGGGGGGGGGGGGAGAGTTTTGGGGTTCAAAAATCTAGGTGCTTAATAATTAGAATAGGGTTCTGGCCGTTACTATAGTGTAATTCTATAGGGGCCACAAGGGAATACCATTGGCAGTTATTCCGACCCCTAGATTATCCCTAAACCCGAAAACCTAAACCCGAAACCCCAAACCCTTAAACCCTAAACCCTATTAAGTCCCTAGAGGGATTGGGGTGTAGGGTTGAGGGTTTGGGCGCAGGGTCTTTCTTGCCGTGTCCTGCCAGCTTGTTCCTGCATCCCAGGCTCCCTGCAGTGTGGAAGAGCCATGCAAGACGTGGGTTTAGGGTTTAGGGTTTAGGGTTTAGGGTTTAGGGTTTAGGGTTTAGGGTTTAGGGTTTAGGGTTTAGGGTATCAGCTTCTCGGTAACTAGCCCAGTGGTACCCTTTACCCTTTTTTTGGTTCTGGGTTCCCTTGTAAAGTAACAAACCCCAAAAAGGGTACCTTTATCACAATATGGTTACTGGGTTACTAAGGGTTAATCCTGCAGGGACTAGGCGGGCGTGGCTTTTCCACCTTAGACGGCGTGCGGTGGGAGATGGCGTCGCACGTGACGCGGTACGAGGAAATCTAAACTCGTCTCTATCCTAATATAACTCTCGCAGCTTCCGCACGAAATCACAGCAATCGGCTCTAAACCTCATAATCCTGATGCCCTGAACCTTCAACCCTTGACCACCCACCCTAAACCTCAAACCCTTGGGGTTTAGGCTTTAGGGTTTAGGGTTAGGGTTCAGAGTATATAGGGTTTATGGTTTAGGGTTAGGGTTCAGGGTATATAGGGTTTAGTAGCCTGTAAACCCTTGAACCCTCAGCCCCACCACCCAGATGCGCCTGAACGCCTTCTGGTCGGCGACGCGCAGCTTGGCCGCGCTTTCTTTTTGTTGGCAGGGTTTGGGGTTTAGGGTTTAGGGTTTAGGGTTTAGGGTTTAGGGTTTAGGGTTTAGGGTTCAGGGTTTAGGGTGTAGGGTGTAGGGGCATGGGTGGGTTCAGGGTTTGCGCGGTTTATCATGTTTAGGGGGTTTTAGGGCCTGGGTCAGGGAAGAGGGGTTGGGGCTGAGATTTGATTTCATTGGCTTTGGGCTTTTGTTGCGATCCTGGATGTTGTCCTAGGACTGAGGGCTTAGGAAGAGGTTGCTGTTGATCTATAAGCCGGAACGCAAGGGCCCTCCATGCATTCGAGAGCTGACCAAGTCCCGAACCTCGAAACCCTAAGCCCCAAAGCTCCAAGGCTTTAGGGTTCAGCGTTGGGGGTAAAGGGGGTATGTCGGGGGAAATTCAGGGTAAAGGGGTATGTCGGGGATTGTTCCCTCAACCCTAAGCCCTATAAACCCACAACACTGAGCCCCAAAGACTCAACCCTAGACCCTAGACCCCAAACCCTCTAGAAGCCCTAAACCCCCAAACCCTATATAAGCTCTAAGTCCTAAACCCTAAATAAGCTCTAAACCTTACACCCTCTACAAGCCTAAGCCCCAAAACCTATACAAGCCCCAGCCTAGAGAAGCCCCCTAAACCCTAAACCCTAAACCCTAAACCCTAAACCCTAAACCCTTAGCCCTAAACCCTAAACCTCTCACCCGACTCACCGCCCCGGGGAGATTGCTGAGGGGCCTGCGAAAAGGCGCTTGCTTGGGAGACCGCGCTTTCCCTGCTTGGCGAGGCGCCAGTCCCTGAAAGTATCGAGTTTAGGGTTTAGGGTTTATAGGGTTTAGGGTTTAGGGGGTTCAGGGTTTAGGGGGTTTGGGGTTTAGGGCTTATTTAGAGAGATATCTATGTTCGGATGCTCTGGGTTTTTGGGCTTTAGGGCCGAACGATTTCAGGGGGTCTAGGGTCCTGGGGCTGACTTGTTGTTCTTTCAGAGAGAGAGAGAGAGAGAGAGAGAGGGACAGGGACAGGGACAGGGACAGGGACAGGGACAGGGACAGAGACCTATCCCTAAGGGTCCATGCACCTGTATGGTATATACTGGGCCCCAAAGCTAGTATATGGGAACCCTTTTAAGGCCCATCTTGATGCGGTCTAGGTTCATGGACTCATGGACCCTTACTTAGGGTATGCCTGTGACTATCATTCGGTGACTGACTGACTCACTGCCCACGCCCTTCCCGGACACAAGGCATTGACGAGACCCGGAAGCCCTAAGGCCTAGACCGTAGTCGTCGTCGTAGGAAGAGCAGTGGTATCAATGGGAAACGAAATCGCAAGAGTAACATCGTAGTATAAGTCATAATTTCATCACAGGAATAGCAGTAGCGAAATGAATGAGTAGTAAAATGAAAGACTGGCCACATGTAAGAACGAAGCCCAAAAAGTTACCATGATTATCCCCTTATGTTCCCAATTGGGTTTGAATATCAAGTGCCCCGAGCACATCTTCTGGCTTCACTACATAGGCCCTTATGTTTTAGTCCCTGTTCTGACTAGGCATCCGATCTGTCAATCCACTGCGATGAGCAGCCCGGCTGCTCATTGGGTTTGGGACCCTTTCGTCCCTGATCTCCAAAAGCCATACGTAGTCCCAACGGTTAGGACAGGTGCGCATTGCTGTCCCTAGCCTTTTAATCTTCCTCCAGATTCGCACCTTGGGGTTTGGGATTTCGGGTTTGGGATTTCGGGTTTGGGGTTTAGGGTTTGGGGTTTAGGACTTTGGGCGCTTACTGACTTGGTTGGCTACAGGGTTCTACAGGTATCAAACAATTAATACTGTCTGCATTGATTAGGGACCTAAACCCTAAACCCTAAACCCTAAACCCTAAACCCTAAACCCTAAACTAGGCCCTAAACCCCTTGAATCCTCACCCTCTTAGAGCTTCAGAGTTGGGCCTTCGATGAACGCGTGAGTATGCGGGGTGGGGGAGTCGCTAGAACTGGGGTTACGAGTGGGACAACTATAGTTATAAGTGGTTACAACCTCATCGAGGGCACTTGTAAGCCTACTCAGAACTTCCCATGAAGCTGGCCCTAAACGCTAAAGCCTAAACCTTCAAGTAGGTGCGCTGGCTGGTGCAAAGGGGTTTCAAGGTTTAGGGTTTTGGGTCTGGCGGTTTATCGTTTTATCGTTTTAGGGTGTAGGCTCGAAGTTTTTTTTGGGTTCAAGCCAACCACCTCAAACCCAGTGGATTCTGGCCGTGGGGAGGTAGGGGTTCAGGAAGTATAGGGTTTGTTGGAGCTTCGTGGGTTGTGGGTTTTAGGGTGTAGGGTTAGAGTTTGGGTTTTTGGCGGGTCGAGGGTTTGGGGATATGTTTGGCTGAAAAGCCCTATGGCCCAGGTTCAAAAAACGTTGAATCCGATAAGACCCTGCACTCTGAACTGAAATTTGTCGGTTGAGGGCTTCAAGGGTTTGGGGTTTAGGGTTAAAGCCTGAAATGCTAGGTTTAAAGCCCTAAACGCTACAGGGACTTGAAGCCCAGGACTGCCTTCTGTTCCGCGATTCTGGCATGCGCGAGACTTACCTGCACTTGTTGGGCTTGGGGGGCATTGCGGGGGGGGGGGGGGTTTCGTAACCTTAGTAAGGGCCTAACTTTTCTGCCGAAATCACAAACCCCCAAACCCTGTTTTCCCACCCGGCCTACCAAATTCTTGTGAGACGCAGCAGTGCACAACCTCGCCCCTGACGGCTCCCATGGGCAAGAAGATGACGAAACCACAACTTTGAAGCTCCAAGCAGCCCTGTCAGAACAAACGAAAGGACGGTTTCGGGTTTAAGGCTTCCTTGCGCACACCTTGTTGGGGCTCATGAAAATTGCTGGTGAAGTGCATTCCTCTGCACTCTAAATACAGTATCGGTCAAGATGCCTCCACTGCCATTTATGGGCTATGGGGCCATCTCGCCTTTCAGTTTTCTTTACAAGTGATACGCCAGAAGGGTCAAAGTGCGGCAAAAAAGGAGCCACTTTGGCACTCTAGACCAGCCCAAGACATCCCCAGACTCCACTGGGCTTCGGATCCTACTTGCGTACGCAAGTAATTAGGGTTTAGGGTTTGGGGTTTGGGGTTTGGGGTTTAGGGGGGCTCAGGGGTTCAGGGGTTTAGGGGGGCTCAGGGGTTCAGGAGTTAGGCAAGCGTTTTGGGCTTAGGATTTAGGATTTGGGATTCGTTTTCGGGAGTAGGGTTTCAGGTTTCAGAATTACCGGGTGTTGGCTTCCTTTGTTGCTCATGACAACTGCACGGTGCACCCAAATCCGCATTCTCAAGGAGCGCGCGCGAATGGCAGAAGTCTCTTGAGGCACGCCGGGCATGTACACCGGAGCTTACCCCTAAACCCCTAAGCCCGCAAACCCCCGACAAACCCTAAACCCTAAACCCCAAAATCCTAAACTTTAAACCTGTTAGGGGAGGTGGCAGACTTGAGTCTGGAGGGCTGGTGCTTCCATGGTTTTTTTTGTTTGCTCTCTTTTGCCGCTTGTGGGCTCTCAGAGGACCCTGAAACCCCTCGGAGGACCCTGCGCTCGAAACCCTAAGGCCCCCGCAACCCACACTCCAACCCCTGAACTCTGGGATTCCTTAAAGTAGGTGAGAACCAATGAACATGAAAGTTTCATTACCTATCACCCACGCATATAACGACCTATGAACCTCCAAGTAGGGTTAGACTTAAACGCAAAGCCCCTAAATCCCACGGGCGGGCAACCCTACATGGGACCAACTTTGGTGGTTGGCGGTAGCTACTGACCCTATGTCACAGGCCTGGCAGAAACCAAGCCATAATCCCTGCTTGGAGGCTGACAGGTCGCTGTAAGTGGGGGTTCGAGGTAAGGCAACTTTCATCTTGACTGGTCCTAACTTTGTTTAGGGATCTTATAACCCTACTTATCACGCGCCCTAAGCCCTAAACCCTACAAGTGTTTTTTTAGTAAGGTAAATTTCGTTGCAACTGGTTATAACCTTATTTAGGCAACTTAACTCTACTTGTCACCCGCCATGGTCGCCATGAACCTTGAACTACTAGGACCTAGGACCCACAATAAGCCCTTATTCCCTTCTGTCGTGTTTAGGTTCCCTTTTTTAGCGCCTTGAAACCAAAAAGGGCACCCTTTTATTCCTGGGTTACTCTTGGGTCACCCTAAACCCTAAGCCCTAAACCCTAAACCCTTGGAAGTTCCTTCAAAGGAGTCGAGAGTAACTCCCGTGTCACAGGCTTGGAACGAGATGTGCCGCCGGGGCATTCGGCCCAGCTGCTCGAGCCGGACGCTGGCCACGCTGCTCATGGACCCCATGCAGCCCTGTTTAGACTTTTTTAGGGTTAGGGCTTAGGGTTTAGCGTTTCAGGGTTGAGGCTGAGCCACGTCCACCCTCAACCCTCAACCCTCAACCCTCAACCCTAAACCCTAAACCCTAAACCCTAAACCCTAAACCCTAAACCCTAAACCCTAAACCCTAAACCCTAAACCCTAAACCCTACCGAAGCCCTAGTAATCCCTAAGCCAGCCCGACAGAGTTGAGGGCGTGGGGGTACAAGGTGAGAAAGAAGCTGGGAGCTGAAGATGCACCTGGTCGCAGCCTGAGGATCAACTCAGAACAGCCCATGAATACGTTTCTACCATTTGCACAAGAACCCCCCCCCCAAACAAAATGAGGATACTTTTGCTTATAAGGGCAATACAGGGAATATTGTTCTTTCTTTTTCGGGGGCCAACTCTAAATTTGGGGCCCTTCTTGGGGCAACACGCCAACTGTTGTTAGCCTATTTAAACAGACGCGTGCGCTTCGAGTTTGGGTTCAGGGTGTACGCAGGACGACAAAGGTAGCCCTCAACCTCCAATCGTCCCGAAACCGGAAGTTTTCACCCTCAAGGTTTAGGGTTTAGGGTTTAGGGTTTAAGACTTATGGTTTAGGGTTGAGGGCTTCAGGGCTTCAGGGTTTAGGGTTTAGTGTGGGTTTGCGCCCACAAGCCTACAACAGGTGGCCCTGATCCCTAAACCCTAAAGCAGTCCGCAGGAGTTGGAGCAGAGATGCCTCTGGCAACAGCAGATGGAGTTGCTGCATCCCTTGAAGACTGCCTACGACACGAAGGGCACAGGCATCTTAGGGGGAAGAAGCAACGCAGATTAGGGTTTGGGGTTTATAGGGTTTAGGGTGTAGGGTTTAGGGTTTAGGGTTTAGGGTCTAGGGTTTAGGGTTTAGGGTTTAGGGTTTAGGGTTTAGGGTTTAGGGCAACCACGCACCCTACACTTGTAGGGAGGGGCGCGGGGGGGGGGGGGGGGGGGGGCTCTTAAGGGGGGCAGGTGGTCTTAACCCTCAATCCCTCCCTGCCTCCTTTGTGGCCATGAGCTCATGGAATCCCAACAACAGCAAAACACAACGTTCATTCCAATCGCAGCTGCGTTATGCAGGGACACTAGAGCTTTCAGGTAACCCCAAAAAGGAATACATCAGAAGCCTTCAGGTAGGAGTTCGGGTTTTCCGGGCTTTGCCAGGCTTTGGGTTGGCGAGGAGCGCCGTTGCCTTCGCGCCCAACCCGGGCGCCCGAGCTGCTGGTTCGGCACTGGGGGGCTTCCATCCTAAACCCTAGACCCTAAACCCTAAACCCTAAACCCTGAACCCCAAAACCCCTACTTTCAAGCAACTCAAGGAGGGACCCTTAGGGGTTATTTGGGGCATAGAAATAGGGACTATATAAGGAATACATCGGGAGAAAAAAGGGTAATAAGATTCAGGTTCCCTTCTAGAGGTCCGTCCTTTCCCTGGGCTTATGATATGAAGCAGGGATATTACTGTTATTGGTGAGTGTGTATAAGGCTCCTTTTTAGTCTTGGTGAGTGTATATACCGGTGTCCTTTTGGGGGTACAAAAAAATATAAACCCTACTTCATATGGCGTTTAGCAGAAGAAACTTTAAGGTATTGAGTGAGGGTTTAGGGTTTAGGGTTTGGGGTTCCTTGGAGGTTCATGGGTAGTTCAGGTAGTTCTAAGTGGGGCTATATGTCAGGCAACTATAGTAATATTTGGCGACAACCTACTTATCACTACTCATCAACCTTCAAGTAAACCCTGCCTAAAACTCCAAACCCCCAAACTTACTTAGCCAAGATTTGAACTACAACCTTTGGGGTTTGTTCTTGTTTTGCAGGAATATTGAAGTTTAGTTAGCTTTGTATATTGCTTGAGTTGGTTTTTGGAGAAGAAACCCCTAAAAACCCGACAACGTTTTGGGTTAGGACTTCGAGTTTAGGTCTTCTGGCATGTAACTCTATTTGGGGGTTCGTAGAGCTCTACGTGTATCTACCCCATGAACCTTCAAGAGGGCTGCATTCAACGGCCTTGTACGCTTCATTCCCTGTTCTTTTTTTTAGGGCTTGGGGTTTGGGGTTTAGGGTTTAGGGTTTAGGGTTTAGGTTTCAATCTTAGGGTTCAGGGTCTACGGTGTTCAGGGCGTTTAGGGTGGGCTGCGTTTCAATCACAATTGTGCGCTGCCTTGCGCGTGTTCAATTGGTCTTGGGTCTCCTTATTTTCTTTAGAGGTGTTCGATGCCATTGTCCTGATCATGACTGTTGATGGCTCTTCTTATCCTTTGGAAACTATTCAGGTTATCCCTAAACCCTAAACCCTAAACCCTAAACCGTAAACCCTAAACCCTAAACCGTAAACCCTAAACCCTGAACCCTAAACCCGATGCCCTTGCCCTCAAACTATTCCCCGAACACAAGGAGGAGTTCAACGTGTTTGGGGGAGCCCCGCACTTTAATGTGAGCCCAAATCTCCTCGGCCTCTCTCCCTCAACTCTCCTATGACATTCAGCTCTAAACCCTAAACCCTCAAACACAGCAAGACCCTACTGGCTCGCAGTAGGGAATGAGTTAGGTACCCTTTCGAATCCCTTAAAAGGTGTAGGAACCCTACCGAATCCCTTGAAAGGTCTGCATAGGGTTTAGGGTTTAGGGTTTAGGGTTTAGGGTTTAGGGTTTAGGGTTTAGGGTTTAGGGTTTAGGGTTTAGGGTTTAGGAAAGGGGGATGCAAGGTACCTAAACCATAAACCCGAACAAAACATCTAAAGCAGTCGAAAATCTCTAGAGGTTGCAGGGCCCATGAGAACCGGGTTTAGGGTTGAGGGTTTCGGGACCCCTCTCGACAGCCTCGAAGAACTGAGAACCCGTTTACGGTTTAGGGTTTGGGGTTTGGGGTTTTTGGGTTAAGGGCCCCTAAACCCTGGGTTTAAACCCTAAACCCTAAACCCTAAACCCTAAACTCACAGAGCCTTTGAGAGAGGCGACTGCGGCTCCCCTTTCACACGACGTCGTGCGCTTCGTGCGCAGGGCGGTAGCCAAAAAAAAGTCCTAGCCGGGCTTCTGCTGGCTGGTTCTTACCTGGAGTCTTCAATGTAGTCCCCTTTTTGGGTTAGTTATAGGTAATTCTAGTATACTACCCCAAAAATGTAGTCCCTTTTTGGGTTAGTTACAGGTAATTCTAGTATACTACCCCAAAAATGTAGTCCATTTTTGGGTTAGTTATAGGTAATTCTAGTATACTACCCCGAAAAAGTACTACATAGGAGCCTCTAGGTAGTAGGGAATGAGGGAATGAGGTACCCTCTAACATCCCTTAATGGGTATATATAGGGCCCGAATTCCCTCATTCCTTACTAAGAACCAGGGGATCCGGGGGGGGGGAAGAGGAGGAACCATCCGAACCCCATCACTTTGACCATAGTGGTACCCTTTACCCTCTTTTTTTGTTGCAAGGTTCCCTACTAAAGTAGCCAACCAAAAAAGGGTGCCCTTATTCCAAGATGGCTACTGGGCGACCAAGTCATGTACCCTAGAGTACTACAATTATGAAGCCAATGCTGATAAGGTATGGGTCATAAACTCTTTTCGTGTTCATTTAGCACCCCAGGGTGGGTTAGGGGGAGTAGATGCGCAACTCCTTCCAAACGTTCAAGACGTCGTTGGGCTTACTTATATTTCTTGTTTGTACAGGGGTGGCGGGCTAGAGTTTTGCCGTTCAATGGCGTTTGTTCTTTTTTCTTTCTCAGCCTGCAGTTCCTTAACTCAGTGCACTCGATGTCTGGCAACCCGCAAAAACCCTAGCCTTCCAGGGTTACTGGAACCCTTAACGGGGGATGTTCCCCCTTATACCAACAGTCCTTAACATTGATGATAATAGGAGTACCATAATCATTATTGAGGACTGTGAGTAGAAGTCCCCTGAAACAACCCTATACCCTAAACCCGAAACCCTAAGCAGGAGCTTCAGACTGGCGACGTGGAGAGAGCCCGCGCAGTGTATGATGCGCGGCCCTCAAGTGATGTTCGGCCTCCAAGGTGGCAACCCTCAACCCGAAACCCTAAGCCCCAAACCCTAAACCTAAACCCTAAACCCTAATCCCTAAACCCTAAACCCTAAACCCCCGTAGCCCCCTAGCCCCCCCAAGCTCCCCAAACCCTGAACTAGTCTTCAACTCAGTCCCCTGGAGCCCCAACCGCCGCGAAGCGCTAATGCCCTAAACCCTCAGCTCCAAACCCGAACCCTGGGCCTTACCTGCAGGCGCTAATGTAGTTCCTTCTTGGGTCAGTTAAGGGGTTCTAGTAAATACTACCCGAAGAAAGGTACTACATAAGAGCTTTGGGTAAACCCTACACGCACAAGCCCAAAATTGGCAGGTGGGGTTTTGGAGGAGTAGAGTTTAGGGAGGACTTGGGGTTTAGGAATATGGGAGCTGGTGTGTCTATACGGTGGTGTGTGCTGTTGTGGTATGTTGTGTTGGGGTTTACGGTTTGGGTTTAGGGTTACTAGCACCATACGCCCTACTTCAGGATAACCTCTACTACTATGAGTCGAGGCTCCTCCGGGCATGTGGACCCTCAAGCCCTAAATCCTTTTAAGGCTCATTTTGGGGCCTCCGGTAGTTTAGGCTTTAGGGTGTAGGGTTTAGGGTTTACGGTTTAGGGTTTAAGGGCCGTGCCTCGCCAGCAGCCGACGCCTGAAGCCTAAAGGTGTTTAGGGTTTAGGGTTTAGGGTTTAGGGTTTAGGGTTTAGGGTGGGTTGTTTTCAGGGCTTAAGGCTTGATGGAGCTGATGTTGTTTCAGGGCTTTTTGGAGCTGACGAGGTTTCGAGGGCTGGGGCCCAGAATAGGCCCTTGCTCATCTTTTTTTTGGGCCTTATAATATAGAAGCCCCTTCAGACCAAAAAAAGGGCCTTTCTATTCCTAGGTTACTCTTGGGTCTAGGAGGGTTTGTTTTTATTTTTTTGTTGGGTTGATAAGGCTTCTGATACGTTGAGGGCTTGCAGGTCTTATTGGCTTAGAGGGTTGTAGGGCTAAACGGCCCTAAGCCCTGAACCTTGAGAAGCCCAGGTAGAAGCTCTTGACCGCACGTAAGGTTATATGAAGTAGGGTTTATAATTATTGTTATTGGTGAGTGTATATATGGGGTGTCCTTTTCGGGGTACGAGAAATATAAACCCTACTTCATATACTTCTAGCTTATACCTACAAGTGCCAGTGAACTTTCAACTGCAAGAGTCTTCTGCCAATGTTTACGGCAAGCCCTCAATCTCGTGCCGGAAGCTCATACCTTACTCAACCCCAAAAAGTACCCTACTCCGTGAACCTGAAACCCTGCAACCATAAAACCCTAAGCCCTCAAACTCCAACACCCTGAAACTTTAAAACCCTGAACCCTGAACCCTGAACCCTAAACCCTAAACCCTGAACCCTGAACCCTGAACCCTGAACCCTGAACCCTGAACCCTAAACCGTAAATCAAGTCCGAAGCCGTTCTACTGGAGGCGCTCCTGAAGATGGTCCCGCACAAGCAGTTCTCCTTCGCGAAGGCGCGTGTGGGCTCAGGGTTTAGGTCTCAGGGCAACACCTTTCGGTTTAGGGTTTAGGGTTTAGGGTTTAGGGTTTAGGGTTTAGGGTTTAGGGTTTAGGGTTTAGGGTTTAGGTGTCCATGTACCCGCACAGCATATACTTGGGGCCCTAAAGCGTCTACATGGGAACCCCATGAAGGCCCAAGTATAGACGATGCAAGTACATGGACCCTTGGGGTTTCT